AAGCAAATAAACCCTCCGGGACTCAAGAGGGATCTTGGAGTATGCAAGGTTTGTGAATAGAACCCGGCGCGGTTGCAAACCGCACCTACCGGGTCTGGGAAAAACAGAGAATTACCGAAATATTTTGTTAAACTTCATAAAGATTGTGCTACAAAGATGGCAACTTAGGTTTATATAACCAAAGATTGGCGGGGTTAGAAACCTCGCCAGCGAAGGAGGCATTTCACCATCGGATTTATGGCGTCAGTGCGCCCTCTTCGAGCCTCTGTGCTCCGTATATTTCCATATCTATTCGCGCCTCCGACGCTAAGGTCTCTTGCTCGGAGAGTGCTTCTGCAACTCGATGGAATCGTTCAATGTCTCTCAATCCCATGATCGTGAGATTTACACTCTTATGACTTAGCACATAGCGGTAGAACTGTTCTGGAGATGGCGCGTCTGCGTCTCCAAAAAGTCTGTCATTACGCGAGGCATTCATAATAACGACACCGGTATTGTGTTTGTCGGCAGCAGGAAAAACTGTCTCTTCTGGCGTTTTCATCGCACAATTATACCAACAGAGGACGGTATCGAAGAATCCAGTAGCAACGGCATGTTGTATCTGAACCCAATCGTGTCCGGTAACACCGATGAAGCGGATGAGCCCTTCATCTCGTGCCTTCTGAGCCATCTCCAACGCTCCGCCGGGTGCCAACGCTTGGTCGCGTTCCTCTTGCGTGTTCAGATGATGGAGTTGATAGACATCAATGTAATCAACGCCAAGCGTCTGTAACGATGTTTCAAGTTCTGTCCGTGCGCCTTTTGCATCGCGCTTAGCGGTTTTCGTCGCAAGAATCAGCGCATCGCGTTGCCCTTTTATGGCGGTTCCAATGACTTTCTCGTCCTCACCATCTCTGTATGCCCGCGCCGTATCCATATAATTGACACCGGCATCAATTGCCTTGCGGTAGCCGTCAGCGGATTCGCAATACGCGCCCCCGATACCGAGTCGGGTAACTGTCAACCCTGTTCGACCTAAGACTGTCTGCGGAATCTCATAAGCCATTATGTTCACCTCAAAAAGTGTCGATTAGCGTTTCATTCAATGGTAGAAAGTTCCATCTCAAATGCCAGTTTAGGCACTTTACGGCACCTCTGCCAATGGTTTTCCCGGTTCAGGCATTCCTCCCATATTGCCGCGCTGTTATTCCAGTGCCGACGATTGGCTTCGTGAATTTTGGTTACAGGTGTTCAATTTGCCATGCACTTAAAACGGAATAAGTAGTTTCAGACTTGAGAAGATTTGTAAAAAAACGGTATAATGTTGACATAATACCATAAGGGTTTCTAATTTCAACGTCCTTGCATATACTATTTTTCAAGGAACGAAAATCCCGCTTCAAAAATGTTTTCAGAAGAGGATGCCAAAAAGAGGGTATTGTCTATAACGGTATTGCAGAGGGGTGTTTCTCCCGAACGATATCGGCGGATCCAGTCGAATGCGGAGGGAATATCATGGCAAATGAGACAGTCGAAACGCTTTGTAACGCCGCCAGAGCGGGAGACCTTGATCGAGTCAGGGAGATTATCGCAGCGGAGCCACGGTTGGCGTATCAAGAGATAGCCGACAACAACGAACACCAAGCCATCCACTTCGCCGCCGAAGCAGGGAATGCCGAGGTTGTGGCTATCCTTTTGGAGGCAGGCGCGGACCCGCTCCAGGGCATCTATCCGCATCGAGACGCGACGACAGCATTGCGGTTGACTTCAGACCGCGGGCACACCGCCGTTGTCGAAACTATTGAGGCGTGGCTTAACAAAAGCGGGGTACGACCTCGCGGGGCGAGGAATTCGTTCAACTCGTCGCATCCGGCGACATCGAATCGGTGCGAGCTACCCTTGATAAACGTCCATCGCTGGTCAAGGCGAAAGACCGGAGCGGGCAGACGGGACTTTTCAAAGCCATTCATCATGGAGATATGCGGACCGTTATCGAATTGCTGGACCGGGGTGCTAACCCGAATCACGCTGATTCTGGGCGATGTCGTCCGATTCACCGCTGCCTGCACCATAGCTGGAAAGTGCCAGAATCGATGTACGGTACTTACGCGGCGATCGCAGGTGTCCTCATCGCACGCGGGGCGGCGTATAACATCTGGGTTGCCAGTGGTGTTTGGGGATGTCAACGGTGTCAAGGCGATGTTACGAGCCGAACCGAATCCCCAATCGCCTGTTGCGGAACAGAAGCCCGTATGTGCACGATTACGTCATCCCCTGTGGGTTGCGTGTTTCCACGGTCACACCGATGTCGTGCGGCTGCTTTTGGACGCAGGCGCGGACCCCCGATTCACCGTTTACGATTAACGTTGCCGGCGAAACGGTCAAACAGTGGGGGCATACGCTTTGGATTGCCGCGAATCAGAACCATTACGAGGTCGTCAAACTTCTGCTGGAAGCGGGGGGCGAATCCGAACGCAGCGGTTTACGCTTCCGGTTCGGCACTCTCGAACGCCAATCTGCGCGGATACAAGGAGACCGCCGAGTTGCTGTACCGTTACGGCGCAACCGATGACCTGTTGAGTTACTGCGTGACGAACAATCTCGCCGCTATCGTAGAGATCATGCACCGCGAACCCTCGGCGTACTCGGAAGCATCTGGGGATACACGCGACCCGTGGGAAAGTCTGCTGTGGAGCGGTGTCCTGGCGGGCAATATCAACGTTGTAGCGATGTGCCTCCGCCGCAATCCGCAGTTTAGCCACGAAGCGTGGTTTAATCTGTTGGAGCAATCAATTCGCGGCTGGCGGCTGGGCGACCTCAAAATTAACAATGCAGACTTCGACCGTCGAAACTATATCACGATTCTACGTATGCTGCTTGCGCACGGCGTGGACCCGAACCTGCGAAACGGTCGGAGTGGTAGCTTCAATTTCACGATTCTGCACCACCTCGCTGGCAAGAGTTGTGACCCCGCTCAATATGGCCACACGCCGGAGGAGATTGTTGAATTCGCCAGCCTCTTCTTGGATCACGGAGCGGAGATTAACGCCCTCGAAAACAAACTGCAATCTACACCGCTCGGTTGGGCAGCCCGTTTCGGCAACATTGTGTTGGTCAAATACTTCCTCGAACGTGGTGCCCGACCCACATTTGGCAGGCGAAAATTGGGCGACGCCACTTTGCGTGGGCAGAGCGGGAAGGGCATATTGACATTGTCCGAGATTCTTGATAATATGTAACGGGAACTTATCCATCATGAAAAAAAGAGTTGCCAAAAACTTTACACACCCTCAAATTGCGGGTGCCAGCTCCCATGCCTGAATGGATCGGAATGTGCCTGTCCACCACGACTCACTAATCTTACACCGGTACTGTCGGCTCGCGTCGGATAGACCCCGCTGTGTAATGCACTGCCTACCGTTCGCGAATACCTCAACCACAGACTTATCGACATAGATGCGGAGCTGAAGTGTTTCGTTGCCCTTCAACATGAAACGGTGCAACACTGCGCGTCAACAAACCGCTCCGACTCCGGCAGTCTCGCAGTGCGCCCGCGTCTCGGTAGTGTGGGTACCGGATGGCTTCGTTCAAGGTAGAACGACTGGTGTCGATTTTCAACATCCGTTCTGACGGAACGACAGAATCTCGGTTTGTTCAGGCTTGATCGGTGAGCAGAGCACTTGGACACCGACCTCGGTTGCAATCGCCGGTTCAATTTCGACAGCCAATTCGAGGCAGTTCCCTTGGACATCTTCTAAGTTTAACTCATCAGCGTTTAGAGTGATACTTTTATGTGCTTTCGGGTTCATCCGCAGGCATTCCACTCTGGCACTGGCTCAATCTGTAGACTACCATCGGTTGCGAGGGAAAGGATACGCGCAGTGTCATCACCCCTGACCAACCGGAGGCACGTTCCTGTTCGACGCCGCGAATTTCGCGAATCCATCGAAAAAGATGCGGTGTCCTGCGCGTCTAACAGTGAGCGGGGTCCACCGAGTAGACCACCCTCCCAACTCATCCGTCCATAGTTTTCAACATAATATCGCTCGTTTTCAAAGCGTCCGAGGTAATACTGTGTGCCCTGCCAATGGCTACAAAACAGCAACATGTGCTTATCGCCCAACGGATAAAAATCGGGGACGGCACAATCTTCTTCGGCGTCTGTCCACTCGCGCCGCGATTGATAAAAGGAACGCAAAATTCCCCACTCCACAAGATTAGACGACTTTAAACAGTGCAGTGCCATCCGCACTTGTCCCGGGACCGTGTTCCCGATGAGTGCGTAATACGTATCGCCTTCCAACCAAGCACAGGGATCAAATACAATATATTCGCCATGTCCTTTCTCACCGGGTGCCGGTACGGGAATCACTGGATTGGCGGGATGCTTGTCCCACGTAATGAGCAAATCATCATCACTCGTTGCATACACGTTCCGTCGGGGACGCCATGATAGATGAACGTAGGAATCCCGTCTCGACTCACGAGAGCACCACCGCTAAAGCAGCCGTTACGGTCGGGTCCGTTGAGATCGGGCGTTAGAGCGATCGGGTGATGCACCCAATGCACCAGATCAATACTCGATGCGTGTCCCCATTGCATCCATTTCCAATAGCCACCTTCGGGATTGTGTTGATAGAAATATGGTATCGTCCCTTCCAAAAGATTGAACCGTTGATATCGTTCATCCAGCCGAATGGTGGCGTGAAGTGATAGCGGGGTCGGTAGGGGTCGTCGGCATACATTGCATCGAGCACACGTGTGGAATGGATGAGTGCTTCTGTCTTTTCGATGGCTGTGTTCATAGTTTTGTTGTTCCTTATGTAGTGCTTTGTCAAGTTTCAAATTCGGTAATGTGCGAGGGTAATTGTCTGAACTGTGATTTCTGTGATTATCGGATTTCCATGATTATACCCCGTTTTTGATTGACAACCGGTCTTGATAGAATTACCGAAATATTTATTGAAACTTCATATAGTTTGCGCGATGCCTTGATTGTGCTTTGGTGTCAGTGTGCTCATTCAGTCGGTCAACCAGAAGGCATAAAGTTCTGACCGGAGTAGGGAAAAGCGGAGGCGCACAGTTCTACCGCGAAGTTCAGCGAGGTCAACCTTCTCTTTCCAGCGCAGCGGTTCGTCAATACTATCAACCATCGCCGGGATACTTTCGTCGAAGGTGTATCCTGGGAGCGGGTGTCCATCATCGGCATTGAGAACCTCTACCTTAACCCTGCCGCGCCAAGAATCCACATTCACGCGTAGTTCTCTACCTTCCACAACGACGGGCTTGGTCAGCACCGATCCCCATTCGACCCCACCTTTGAGCGACACAAAACCGTCAACGCGGAGTTTTGCGAGTGCCATGGCGAAATTATTGAGGTATTTTCTGTTCATTACGTCCACCAGCGGCTGGCTGCGGTGCCGAACGCCGAGATAGTAGAACCATAGCTCATTGTTGCGTCTGATCGGACCGTTGACAACCGAGATCTGTCCTGTATCGTAAGCACTGCCATCCCCTATCGGTGATAACTCGATAAATGGCGTGCGATTCGCGACACGCTCCCACTGCCGTAGATCTCGACTCGAAGCCAGTTCCACCGACTTACGACTGTCCACGTTTTCGTAAAGCGGTGGATGCTTGCCCGTCCAGTGGTGCATCACAGGTAGCCCCAGATACAGACCCTCGTAGCGAAATACGGGAAAATTGTAAACGTCGGTACGCCATTCCTCAGGTCGGTTGTATATCGGGGTAAGATAATCGGGATCCTCAATAAATTTTCGTATCCGTTCTTCCCCGTTCTCCTGATCAATCTGGTCGGCGTGAAAAATGAGTTCCAACCCGCTCCAGTTTTCAAAGTCTTCACTGGTACTCAAACAGAAACTGCGTCCGTAAGGCGACCGACCATCAGGTCCACTGTGTTTGACGGTAGCAATAAATAGCCTATTCTCTTGATCATAAGAGAAGTGTGCCTCGTCCGAGCTTGGAACAAGTGGCACATCAAGGTATGTCCAGTGGAGACAGTCTGGGGAGATTGCTGGTGTCAGTCCGCCTCCTTTTCCCCATCCCACCCCTTTGTAGCGACGTTGTTCATCAGGGTCATGGGGGTCGTAGATCGGTCCGAGCGGTACACCTGTAGGCAAGATGTTGTTCTCTTTGCCAATCGCGGTTCCGCGCCATGTGAGGGCATCGTAATCGTGAAGCCCCAATACCGGTTTCTCCCAGTTCACACCATCTTCCGAGGTTGCATAACAGATAAAACTTTGCCCGCCAATCGGGGCACCGGTCACGTCGAGCTTGACCTCTGGACTCTCTGACTCTGAACTGGCGTAGTAGAGCGTCTTGAAAACCGCTTCATCCGGCACCCACGCGGGGGTTGTCCACATCATAATACCGCAGTTCTCCCAGCGATGTCAGGTCGAAGCACGACGTTCTTGTCGAATTTTTGCAGCGGATGTAGTTTCCGGGCGAGATTGTCGATTTCCTCAACAACATGGTCATCAATGAATAACGCTTTCATTTGGGCACCTTGGGTCAGATGGCATTGATTATAGCTACACAAATGCCGCCCCTCTGGGGAAACCTGGGTTTTTGGGCTTTACGGCTGCTACACAAATGCCGCCCCGCTGGGGCTTGGATGTTTTTTCAACATCTTTCTATAAACATATCATCCCTACGGGATTCAAGAAAGGTTTACAGTCGCAGGTTTGTCTGTAAAATCCAGTGCGGTTGCAAACCGCACTACCGGGGCTGGAGGACGAGGAAACCCGTCTTTTTCTAAATTGACCCTTATGGTGTGATTCCCTACGTGCTAATGCCGCGGGGAGCCTAATCCACCTCTGGACTATATCCAGCCATCGTCAATCATCAACGTTAGTGGCGATTCCATCTCTTCAAGGGGTAGATGAATCCGCCGCCGTTTCCGAGATGACTCATAAATACGCCATGAGTAGTTCGTGGGTCGCGTATCCCTGATGACCACTGGAGCGGTTGTTCCCGGTCCTCTTCAATGGCGGCAATCATGTCCTTTACGGGGTCACTTTCCGAAGAGAGTTCGGGTGCCACCCAAGCACCACCCGATTCTGCGTTTGCGGTAACGGACAGAGGGTCCACCTGGGCAGACAGTTCAATTTCGCCTTCCGTTCCGTAGCAGTAGATGTGGTGATAACCGGGTGCGGTATCGCTCCCTGATTCAATGATAGCCCGAACATTGTCTTCAAACTTGAAATAACCGATGGCGAATCCTCGGAGTGCAGATCGTATTGGTCGGTGTGTCGATGCGTTCGATCTGGCCCGTCACCCAAACGATGGGGCGGTCGCCATAGACAAATCGCATGAGATCAACGGTATGCGTGGGCATTATCCTTCAGGTCGCCGCCGCCACAGACACCGTGAATACGAAAAATATCACCGATGGTGCCGTCCGCAATAAGCTGCTTTGCACACACATACGGAGCGTTAAACCGTAACTGGTGGTCAATCGCCAATTTCACACCGTGCTGTGAACAGGTTTCAAGCATTTCCGCGCCCTGTCCGAGATTCTCCGCCATCGGTTTTTCAGAAAGAATCCCTTTCACTCCGTGTTTTGCGACTTCAATCACGACCGGTGCATGCAGTTTCGGACGCGTACATACGGAGACGATATCAATATCTTCCGTTTCGAGCATCTCAATGTAATCGGTGTACTGCTTTTCGACCCCGTACTGTTCACCATACGCTTTTATTCGTTCCGCGTCAATATCGGAGATTGCGCTCAGAGAAACCCTCGATTCATTCACATACCATCCTGCGTGCATGTGAGAAATCCCACCGCATCCAATTATTGCAACGTTGTAGTTTTGTCCATTATGAACTCCTCTCGTGGTTTTATATGATGAGAATACCATATAGTAAAAGCCTTATAATACTTGGACATTGTGAGAGAGGCGAGGATACAAACCTCGCCAGCGGCGATGAGCACGTTTCGATCATTTAGTTTCCCTGTAGGAGGGATTTCCGAATCCCGATACCCACTGTAGGAGCGACCTCGAATCAACACCGAGCGCGCGTGTGGCATCGGTGGGTCGCGATTTATCCCACAGAATCGACAGAAGGTTTCCGAAAACTGAATAGCCCTATTCTAATTCTGTTTATGTTCCAAACAGGACAAAACATCATAAAGATTTGAGATTGAGTGGTCTGGTTGTTCGTCCGCTGTTTCCGGTGTCAGGACATCTGACTTTCGGTCGATGAAAACGCTGTCATACCCGCGCGGTTGGCACCAACGATGTCATTTTCAATGGTATCGCCGACGACCATAGCCTCTTTCGGTAAATGCCAGCACGTTCGCAAGCCACTTTGAAAATTTTGGCGTTCGGTTTTCTGACACCGACTTCACCGGAAATCGTCAGCGATGAATTACGTCGCTGAGTCCAAGGTGTCGGACTTTAGAAAGTTGGCTGTCGGTGTGTTCATCGTGCGCACCGTTGTAATGATACCGACATGGTATGTGTGTAGTTTCTCAAGGATCGCGACATCGTCGTAAAGACGTAAAACTCGTGAGGTAGACGCGAACAGAAAAAGTCGCTTAACTTCTTCCATAACCTTATCTACTGGCAACCCTAATTCTTGAATAGACACTGGAAACGTGAATCTCTCACGTCCACCATAGCGCATTTCCCGCGTTGAGTTGCTTATAGAGCTCCTGATGGACGGTTCTCCATGCCTCTGTAAGCGTCTCTTCCGAAACATCTGGATAATGCTCGTGCAAAAGCTGAAAAACTTTTTCTCTTTGTGCGAGGCTCCAGCAAACGTATCGGAGTCAGACAGCAGTGTCCGATCATCAAGGTCAAAGAAGTGACTGCTTGTAATCTCATTATGTCGTGTTTTTGCCTTCTATTTCACGTATGAAAGCTCACTTGCTCAGGACGTTTCTGTCTGCTTTTAACCCCAAGAAGAAATAGCCTCTAATGCAATCTAGCTGCACGGACCTCTCTCTTTGAGCGATGCCATTTCATATCACTCCTTCCGGCCTCGGTAATGGCCGCTATCGCCGTTCGTTCACACTACCATAAGCAATCCAGTCACGACATCTCATCGGCTTCCGGCAACAACAACTGTAGGACTCGTCTGGGCAACAAGGCGCCAATTTGACATCGTCGCTATCATGTCATTGCATTCGACAGAAGCATTTCCCCAAACCGCTCTGCACCCTCCAATTTCACCTCCAACGCCCTGTTGTCGATCAGTCGGAAGCGTACTCACCCCTTGTAGTTCCCGCGCTTCCAAAAAAGGCCTAGATATACTCAAACTCATCAACAGATCCGTAAGACGATCGTATGCTTCCATCTCAGAATTTCCCAGCTGCTATCTTGACCCAGAGCGTCGGTCATATAATGACATTACCTGACATCGTGTTCGCAGCACGCTCCTCAGAGTATACTCCAACAGATAAAAATCTCGCGTTTGATCGTTTGGTACTTTCCGCCTCTAATATTATTTCATCTAAACCGCCTTCTATCAATCGTTTGTTCACTACATTCCAAAATGCGCATGCCGAGTCTTCTCGTGTACCTATTCCAGTCGGGTGTTTTTTCTGTGTTCTAATAGCTCTGTCTCCTTGTGTAGCAGATCCCCGTTTCGCCGGGAGAGCGAATCTGCACACCTCGACCTTTTCGCGGCAGTGACGACATCGAGCCATTATTATCGAACTTGCAGTTGTCTCACACACACCCACCCGACAACCACCCTGTCACACCGCGAGTATGTTGAGTTTCCGCTTGCCCACCGAACGCCAGTAGGAACGGCATTTATAATCGGTGAATAGGAGTGTGATGACCATCGCGCAGTAAAACTCCATGGCGAGAAAAATTGATAAATTTTTCTACGTAGACTTTCCGACAAATTATGGGGTGACCCTCACCAACGCTAAGTGCGATTGATTCAGGTCTAATTCTGTTCACATTTATAAATTTTAGTGTCGTTTTACTGGAATCACCGTGACTAAATATGATGTTCTGGTAGGAATTTTGTGCACGTCTACGGTGCCATTTTCCTTTGCACACGCCCCAGTAACTCTATCATAGTTTATAATCTCTTGACTACGCACGATGCTTTTCTTTCAGTTAGACATAAACTAACACGAACCCTGAAATCTTCTCCACGGGCGGAGCATTTCGTCCTGCTAACCATATTCCATCATCAACGGTAGGATATATCTATCTGTAATCTTCCATTAGGAATAGCCTGTAATTTTTACCTCTTTTAACGTGATGTATATCCGCTCGTCTTCGTATAGAGAAAGGACATCAAACAGGTTGGCGTCAGATAATGGTATCTCCATATTCAGAAATATCTTTCACGTTATCCGGCGACTTTAGAAAACTTCATGCGCTTCCATTCCAAAATCAAGAACTGCTTGAAAAACCCAACGTAGCGTGAGTTTTTCAATTTCTTCAATTTCATCTGAATCTAAATTTGAATTTGATAGTGTTTCCTCATTCATATTATAACCAATCCAATGATGTTTTAACTTCTGACGAAAAGTTCCACTAGCAAACAGAGCTGCTACCTACAATACCCAGAATATGTAAACCAATCCAAGGACTGTCCAAACACCTGCCACTATTTTCATCACACGGCTTTTCCGCCCTGTTTTCGTGAAATATACGCTCGATGTGATTTGAACAGTAGCATCACGGAATCACAAGGTTGATGTACTTGTTGAAACCAATTTTGCCACTTGAGAGGCGAAACACATTGAAGACGAGCAGGCAAGAATGATCGCGAAGGAAACCGTATTTCCAGAGATGCCTTGGCGCAAACCTTGCGGACAAGCCCCGTTTTTGCCGATGCTACTTCTAAAGTTTCCGGTAGATCAGGATTCCTTTCTCGAAGTGCTTGCTGGCGTTCCTTTTCTTTTGAATTTCGTCTCAAGTTCTTGTTTTTCAGCGTCGGTTAATTGCTTCACGAAAATTACCTTCTTTCCGGCGATTAAGGGGCATTACAAAAGCCAACACTTTTCATCACGTTCCATCGGCTCGACGGCAAATCCCATAGAGAGTTTGAGATGATGGTTTTCAGGATGATTCTCGCCACTGACGGATCGCACTTGGTAGCAGTCAAACAACTTCGGCTTGTTTGATGGTATATTCTGAAGTGCTCTGCCGATGCCTTGCCGTCGGTATCCGTCTTTCACGCCAAACGCGAGGATTTTCGCCTCTTTTAGCGTTTTTCCATGTATTTCAATAGGCGGGTGATCGCGGTCGTGGGGACCGATGTCCCACACAACAAACATGAGAAATCCGACGATGGTGTTATCCTGTTTTGCCACCAGAAAACAGCGTGAACACTGCGCAAAATAGGGATTGAACGCCCAGTCTGTTTGGTTTATCTCATTGACGAGCGCGACAAATTCCTGCCAATCCGAGTGATCGGCTGTCAGTTCTTCAATGGAAACGCGTGGTTGTTTGCTCATTATGTATTTCGTTCTCTCAGAGAGGCGAGGTTTCTAACCTCGCCAGCGGGAGAAAACAGGAATAGGCGAAGTTATACCATTTCTAAAAGTTTATATTGCATTAACCGCACCTGAGCGCACAGACTAACAGTCTATGCTACAAGGTTATTTTCAATTAGGAGAGCCTCAGCATGAGAAGAAGCGCACAGACTAACAGTCTATGCTACAAGGAGGCACAAACTGAAAGTTTATGCTACAATTTCAATCAGAAATGGTATTAGATGAAGATTAAACATACTTCGGTAATTGACGGGCGATGAATCACCCTACTACGAACGGCTCGGTCTGTAGTAGTGCTATTTATAGCACGTCGGTTATGCTCAATTACCTGGGTTGCTACCTTCGGACGAACGCTGTCTTACCTTGAAACCTTTATTGTTCCCCAGGTGAGTGCCAATTTCTGGGCAGGTTGAACAGCCAGTCCTTCCGCCTCAAGATTGTTTTCAATCTCCTCTTGACTGAGACCTCGGTTGTAGAGGCGAAGTTCATCAAGAAGGCCGTTGTAAGGAAGTCCATCCGATTTTCTGGCACCCATCCAAAAATTCTCTCCATTATGTTTGAGAACACCCTCGAATTCTTTCTCATTATCCACTTCACCATTGACATAAATAATGGCTTCGGAACCGTCGTAAACGCCAGCGACATGATGCCATTTATTTACGTCGGGCTGACCGACGCTGTGAAAGGGCCACGTCTCTAAAACACCGTTCCAGAGATTAAAATCAACCCGAGTTTGGTCTGACCACGCAATCACATAAGAATTATTTCCTGACCTCGATATGCCGGCGATAATCGCCCAGCCCGCTTTTTCAGGTTTTATCCACATCTCCAATGTAACCTGATCGCCAATGTCGGTTAAATCCTTACCCGCCCCACAATCAACATGGCCCCCACTAAACTTGAGTGCCTCACCGACTTTACCGTCAACAACCTCGACATTCCCGTCCATGGTTCCATCGCTGGCACCGAAAATGTCTTTAACCGTTTTATCTGCGACTGAATCCTTATTAAAGGACCAGTAACTCACCAGCCCATCGGTAATCGCCTGACGCGCTTGTGCCATATTTGTAGCCATTAAAACAGTCGCTACAATGGCGATAACAAACATTTGTCTCGGAATTCTGTTAATCATTTGGTCCCCCGTTTCGGAATATTGGGTGCCTTTCGGCAAGATTAAGAAAAGTCACAAAAGCCTTCAACGATACAGATTGCTTCGCAGTGAGAACCCGCTGGGGCTTTATCCCTGGGGGGTAACCTACTTCTACACAGATGTCGCCCCGCTGGGGCTTTATCCCTGGGGGTAACCCACTTCTACACAAATGCCGCCCCTCCGGGGCTAATACCCATACATTCACCTCACATTTTGTAGAGGATACTATAGAGATTTCGACTACCAACACTTTATCTCATACTCAGAAATGGATATATTTTTCTTAAATTGACAGTATGGTGCGGTTAGAAACCGCACCTACCGGGCCCTGGGGAAAAACCGAGATTACCGAGTGAAGGGAGTATCAAGACCGCAACATAGGTTTCAATAACTTAGCCATCGTATTCTACGATGACATCATCACCTCTACCTTGACGGGATACGTCGCGACACGTAACGTTTCATCGACGAGGCATTGTCCCGTGGCAATATCAAATGTCCATTGATGCCACGGACAGCGCAGTACTTCACCCAAACCCTCCACAGAGAGCATTGTCCCGTGAATTGAAGGCGGTGCATCGGCGGCGAACCTGCCGGTGAGTTCGCCTGTGCAGAGAGGTCCCCGCTTGTGCGGACAGATGTTTCGGACGGCGTAAAAGGTGCCATCAACATTAAAGACACCAATGCCTGCCTTGCCACGGAAGGGTACGATGATTTTGCGTTTCCCCGGTGGAATCTCTGACACTTTTCCGACAACAACACGTGCCATATTTTTAACTTACCTTGCGGATTCTTAATTATACCTTGCGGAGAAAGGACGTGTGTTAGAACTATCGGATACGTCCCTTAAACCCGCCTGCGCCGTTGTTGCAGGCTACGGCTTTGCGTTTCGGTTAATTCGCTGTTGGATTTGCGGATCCGTTGGCTTCTTCAATCCAATCGAAGGATATCGAGTGCGTTCTGGGCGAAGATGCGATTGTGTAAGTCCTCTGGAAGCTTGGGGAAAACCGTTACGGGTCGTTCCAATCGAAATGTGGGAAGTCTGAGCAGAATATCAGCGTTTCATCGGCGTGCAGCATTTCTAACATCTGATACATCTGTTCCGGTTTTTCAGGTTCATGCATTGGTTGTGACCCGATCCGGATGTGTTCACGGAAATACTCACTTGGCAGCCGTTTAAGCCACGGTGTCTGGTCACGCAACGCCTTCCAGTCGGTATCCAGATGCCACATCACCGGTACCGCCCACATCTGTTGTACTTCAATCAGTGCGAACTTGAGGTTAGGAAACTTCTCAAAGACCCCTTCGCAGATTAGAGATGTCGCGTGTGAACTGGCGACATAAGGTCTGCTCATCCGAGATTCCATGTAGTAAGTGGGATGCCCGACCGGGGTTGGCGTGTTTCGGGTTGCCCCGCCGCCACCGCCGATATGTGACACGACTGGGAGTCCGTGCGCTTCACACGCCTCCCATATAGGATGATAGAAGCGGTTGCCAAAGGGACGACTCGTTCCCATCGGCACCATAACAGCAGCAGTGTCCTTCCGGTGTGCGAGCCTGTTAATCTCTTCCACGGCTTGCGGTGGATCGGAGGGCGAGACGAGGATAGCGTTGACGACGCGTTCGTCGCGATCAAGCCAATGCTCAATTGTCCAATCGTTAAAGGCGCGGCAGAGCGCAGCTGCCCAATCCGGGTCAGGTAGCCCAGAATACCCGTAGAACGGGGGTGGTCCAGTAAGCAAGGCGACATCAATATTCCAGACATCGAGATGCTCATCTTGGAGGAACTCTAATGTGAAGTTAAAATCTCTGGGGTCACCGCCGGAGTTCTTGGGTGTCGATTCGATGGCTTCTTCGACCCTTCCTTTGAGGTCAACGCGGTTGCTCCGAATGGGGATGTTGGGATACCCGCCGAGATGTAGCCCTTGGTCGAGGAGATGCTCCTGATAGAATTTTGACAAGTAAGGCAGCAGTTGCGTAGGGTGGCGAAAATTGTGGTGCACATCACAATCGACGATAGCGATCCCTTCTTTCGGTTTCGCAGTCCAACCGGGTGCGGTGACAGGGGTTGATCCAATTTGACGCATGCAAATGCCTCCTCTATTAGCCGTCAGCAATCAGCCGTCGGCTTTCAGTAAGAATAGCTGTCGGTTATCAGTTAGAGGGATATGATAAGCCTAACATCTCAGGCCAACCACAAGAGTTGCCTCTACTAATGACGGTACGCCTCACCAATCAAATTATTGGCGGCGCGGACGGGTCGAAAAAGGGTCTGCCGCTTCTCAGGCATTTCGGCTAACAACTTCGGGTGAGGATCCCAATCGTGCCACTTGCTATTGACTGTATTGTAGCAACTGAAAATAGCAAGTCGATCGTTTTCCTCATTCGTCCACGTGTGCGTGCTATGTGTCAACGCCTCTGTGAAAAAGAGGAGGGACCCAGCAGGACACTCATACGTATCCCAAATCAGAGAGTCCTGGCTTCGGATTGTGTCGGGTGCTGTGTAGACGGCTTTATGGCTCGCCGTAATAAACAGCGTGCCTCCCTGCCGATATTTGACAGGATTCAGTTCCCAGACGATGCGAGTTAACCCACTATACCCTCTACCGGGAATACACCGATAGAGGTGCGAATCGCCGGGGAAGCGGAGCATCCCGTTTCCGTTGTGGGGTCCAAAGTTGCCATCACCGACAGTGCGATGGAACAGGCTACACGATTCCATCCGAAAGCCGTAGCATTCTTGGCTTGATAACGCTGGATGTGCGAGAAATTCATTGAGAAAGCCGACGACATTCGGATGATCAGCAAGGCGTTGCATGGGACCACCGAGGGGAGAGCGTTCATGCTCTGGAATCGACTCCGGTTCATGGCGGAGTTTATACCCGAACTCTTGCATCTCTGCGAGTTCATCGCCCGACAGCACGCCCGGAACTAAAATCCATCCGCGCATGTCAAAGAGGTATTTCTGCTCTTGCGTCGGCGCGACAACGGGTATCCCATCGGAAGTTGCTTCCGTGAGTTGCGCGTTATCAATGTCGAGTGCCGCCCCAAGGTTCTTATCAACAATAAAAGGTTTGGTGTGATCCGTGACTTGTGCCATTTTTTAAACTATTCGCTCCTGGGCTGCCCTCCACTTCGTTTCGGGCAGGTTTTCGGTGAAATTGCGGTGTTTCCTGGGAATTGTGAGCGGTTTAAAGAAAGCGTAACTCACATTCCTGATCCCTACGATTATTCAGTGACTTGTCCTTCCTATGCGGCTTTGGCGCGTTTGAGGGCATCCTCAGAAACGCTAAGCGTCTTCGCAACATCTTCATCGGTGTGCGACATGGACATGAACCAGATATGTCCTTCAGGCAAATATAAACCGCCATCTAAGGTCGCCTCGTAGAAAGTTTTGTGGAACCGCTGTTGGCGTTCGTCATCGCCGTTGGTACTTAATCCGAAGTAAGGCATGGCTCCGATACCACCGATGCGGGCATTCTCAATACCGAGACGTGCCGTCATTTCCCGGTAACCATCCAACAATTTCTGTCCCTGTTCCACATAAAGGCGACACCGTCCTTCGTCTCGAGTTCTTCGATTGTGGCCATTGCAGCAGCGACGAGCGATACTTCTCCGTGGAAGGTTGCGGCTACCCAGACATCGCTAACTTCATCCATTATCTCTTTTTGCCCGACAACGACAGCTGTCGCGAACCCGTTGGCGAGTGCTTTTCCGAAAACGGACATGTCGGGGGTAACCCCGAAGTATTCCTGTGCACCGCCCAAAGCGTAACGGAACCCCGTTTTGACCTCGTCGAAAATCATCAATGCACCGTTGGCATTGACGAGCGCCTTTGCCTCTTCGAGATAACCGTCTTGGGGAAGGTCTTGTCCAGAAGGTTCCATAATTAGACACGCAATCTCGTCAGGGTGTGCTTTAAAGAGGTCGGCAAGCCCTTCGAGATCATTGAAATCGACGCTGAGTGTGGCGGCAGCAGCACCTGATAGGTGTCCGCGGGCGTGGCTACACCAATCGTGCCAGCCGTGATAACCCGATCGAATCACCTTTTCTCTACCGTTATACGCGCGAGCGAACTTAATCGCTCCAGTTGTTGCGTCCGATCCGCCAACGAAGTAAGCGACTCTATCAGCCGATGGGATAATCTGAATCAGCTTTTCGGCGAGTTCTACCTCAAGGGTATGTCCGAAATTATAAACATTACCCCGTTCAACGAGATATTTCGTGACCGTATCAATCACAGTCGGATAGGCATGCCCAAGGATCATGGGTCCATAGCCCATCAGATAATCGATATAGTCGTTGCCATCGGCATCCCAAAAATGTGCGCCTTTCGCACCTGCAATCATAACAGGTCTCGGTGGTTGGCTCTGTTTATGGGGTTGCCCGCCGCCGACCAACGCGGCTTTAGCTCGCTTCTGCCATGCGAGTGATTTTTCAAAGCTTCGTCCCATGCTGAAACCTCCAATGTTCGTATATAGACAGTCGGTTTCCGTCAGTTATCGGAAACCCTCAGCAAGAGCGTCTTAGGTCCATTACGCATATTTTACATTACCGACCCCTGACGACTCATACGCTGCCCCTTGGCTGCGATTCTTGAACTGCTTGCTGTCAAGTTGCTTTTACTTGGGTGTTTCTCTCGACAGCAAATATACGGGATTTACGTAAGTCCTATTTCAATTATTTTAGCATAATTCTGGATTTCATAGCATAATTTCTTGAAAATTGTGAAATTTTGTGGAATAATAGCGTAACTTAAATTCTTGTAGACAGGATTTATACCAAGTCTCACAATAGAAAAAGGGGCGAAAGATGGCAGTACACCTCTTGGCAGACGCGCAGATGCGGCATTTCATTGTGAATGGCTATGTGAGCGTCACCACCACATTGCCTGTACAATTTCACGATGCAATCTACGAAAAGACGGTAACGGTTTTTGACAAAGAAGGCAATCCGGGTAATAATTTGGTACCGCGGATACCAGAGATTCAGCAAATTCTTGACGATCCGAATGTGAGCGGGGCTCTGACAAGCCTGCTTGGCGCAGACTACTACATGCAGCCGCACCGTCATCCGCACTACAATCCTCCGGGTAGTAATGGGCAAGGGATGCACCAAGATGGCGGGAAACGTTGGTCTCATCATACCCGCAGACTGCTGGTTTTCTATTACCCACAAGATACTCCCATCGAACTCGGTCCGACGGGTATAATCCCAACGAGCCATTACTATAGCACGCGTGAAGGCGCAGAGATCTCGCCGGAACAACCGATCGTTGGGAAAGCGGGAACGGTTGCATTCGCAAACTATGATTTGTGGCACCGTGCGATGCCTAACAGTAGCGAGAAGAAACGCTACATGATGAAGTTTCTCTACGCCCGGATGTCAGAACCGCAGGAACCCACCTGGGCGAATAAGGAAACAGAGTGGGCAAACGGCACATCTGTGGGACGTGCTGAGCATCAGGAGATGTTCCGACACCTTTGGAACTGGCATCGGGGCAAGGAATTCGGGGTTGCAAACCCCTCCCACAACAAGACACCGAACGGAGAGTCACTGTCCGGTTTAATCAGTTCACTTAACAGTACATCGGAATCGACAGGATTGCAGGCGGCTTATGAAATGCCCTCGATTTGGCGAGAAGGCAGTGCCTGCGCTTGTGCAGTGTTTACAAGATGAATCGGAGATGACGCGCCGCAATGCCTGTTACGCGCTCAACGCGGTCGGAACTCCGACTGTTGATGCGCTGCGAGATGCGTTGAAAGACTCCCGTGAATACGTGCGGAATAACGCCGCAGAGGCACTCGGCGACTTGGGAAATAAGGCAGAATCAGCGGTGCCTGCCCTGGTGGAAACGTTAGCGGATACCTCTGGCTCCGTGCGGTCGCGCGCGATAGAGGCGTTAGGAACAACGAGTCAATCGAGTTCAATCGCTGTTCCCGGTCTTGTGAAGGCATTAGAGTACCCGCACGATGGCTCACGGCAAAAATGCGGTATTCGCGCTGGCGCGGATTGGTCAGAACGCGACTGAGGCAGTTGAGGGCTTACAAAATGTGCTGTTTGATGAGAATCGCTACGTCCGTGGCGATGCTATACATGCGCTTTATCGTATCGGCACACCGGCGGCGAAGGCAGTGTTGCTTCGCTACCTTGAGACGACCCGCTGGTGTCCTCTCACCTCAAAAGAGAGTACGTTTTAGGTCCGTAAAAATTTAAGGCGCGCTAACACAGCGCGCCTTCCGTGATATGAACGGAAAAATCTAAGTGAAAAATTCCTCGTTATGGGGACGGACATCGACCTCAAAAGTCCATGCACTCCGCTCCTGCTGTACTAAAGCCCAATAGGTATCGGCAATGGCATCGGGTTCAAGGAGCGGCTCATTCTCCGCGAGTGTATAGCGTTGTCGCACCCCCGGCGTATCGATGACCCCGTCAATGATAACATGAGCAACATGGATACCGTGGGGACCGACCTCGCGAGCGAGTGCCGATGCTAAGCCTCGCGTCGCATACTTGGCACTGCTGAACGCTAACGCGCCCGCCCTGCCACGGACAGCAGAAGTAGCCCCTGTAAAGAGAATGCTTCCCCACCTTTCCGGAGCATCCCCGGAACGACCTGCTTTGAACAGAGAAATCCGCCGAGGGTGCAGACGCGCCACGCCCCCTCAAACGCTTCAGGTGTGAGATCTGCGAAACTGCCCCAAGCGGCGTTTGCTGCATGATTCACCAAGATATCGGGATCGCCGAGTTCCTCTCGAATGCGAGCGAAACTCTCTGATACCTGCTCACCATCGGTAATATCCGTTGGGATAGGTATGGCTGTGCGTCCGGATTCTGTCAATCTTGCGGATAGGTTTTTAATGTAGGCGGATGAGCGTGAAAGTAGTGCTACATTGCACCCTTCCTGTACAAATTTACGGGCGAGTGCAGCCCCTAAACCGGGACCCACACCAGCGATAACTGCTATTTTTTCCATTTTTTAATTTTTCCTTGCGGGTAAACAACGTGGACTTGAACTATCAAGTGCGTTCCTTAAATCCGCCCTCCATTACATTACGGGCTTGCATTTCCGGGCTATGCCGATCTAAGTCAGAATGTCGGGAATCGGAGTTCCCTCCTACAGAAGATTATTCGTGTCTGAGTCAGAATGTCGGGAATCGGAGTTCCCTCCTACAGAAGACTATTCGTGTCTGAGTGCCTCGATCGGATGAAGTTTTGCCGCTGTCCACGCCGGATATGCGCCAAAAAAGACCCCTACCATTGCGCTAACGACAAAGGAAAGCACTGCGTACACCGGCGAGATAACGGTCCGCCATCCCCAAAGTGAAGGGATCAACTCTGCCCCGGCAATACCGACCCCAATACCAACAACCCCGCCAACCAGTGCCAGCGACGTGGATTCAACGAGGAACTGAACGAGAATATCGGAACGCTGCGCGCCAACGGCTTTACGTAGCCCAATCTCTTTCGTCCGCTCCGTAACCGAGACCAACATAATGTTCATGATGCCGATGCCACCAACAAGCAAGGAGACGACAGCAATCCCTAAAATCATGTTGGTGAAGGTTTGGCTCGACTCTTCGAGTGTCTCCATGAATTCCGCTTGGTTCCGGACGTGAAAGTCAGGTGCCTTATTTGGTGCGATTTTGTGTTGCCTCCGAAGCAGTTCCATTACCTCGGTTTCCTGCGGACGTAAGGAGTTTGTCATCATTCGCCTGTATACTGATGCTCGCGAGATAGTCCTCTCCGAAAACGCGTTTCATAGCGGTGGAATAAGGGATGAAAACCTGATCGTCCGGGTTTCGCCAACCGCTCGCGCCCTTCTCTTTCATAACACCTAAGACGCGAAAACCCACATTCTTAATCTTGACGATTTCGCCGACCGCTTCTGCCTCCTCAAAAAGATTATCAACGACAGTTTTGCCGAGGACACATACACGTTCACGGTATCGGATTTCACTGTCTGTAAAAAATCGCCCCTTCTCAACGGTAAAATTCGCGGTAACAAGGTACTCCGGGGATGTCCCGACGATGGTTGTATTTACATTTTTATTTCGATACTTCACCTGTGCGCGGCTGCTCACCTCAGGCGTGACATAGCCAAAGTTCTGTCCGCGCTCTTGTAACGCCTCCATGTCTTTGACGGTGAGGCTTCTCCGCGCATCGGCAGAGCCGCGCCCTCGAGATCTACTTTGCCCTGGACGAATCGCGAGAATGTTCGCACCTAATGTCTGAATTCGTTCGGTGATGTCGGCTTTCGCACCTTCACCAATTGAGGTAGTGGTTATAATTGCCCCGACACCGATGATCACGCCCAACATTGTCAACATAGATCGGAGTTTATTTGCCAATAAGGCACTCAATGCGTTTGTAAGACTTTCCAAGATACTCATAGTATTTTCTCCTTAGTACCTAACGTCCTCTGCCACCACCGGTCATTCGCCGCATTGTGGAAGCGGGATTCATCATGCGTTGCCGCCACGCTTCGCTGCGACCGCCGCCTTCACCGGGCGTAAAGCCGCCGATTGCGACGACATCCCCTTCAGCAAGCCCCGAGACGATTTCGATCTTGTCAAAACTGCTAACCCCAGCTACAATCGGTTGAGGACGACCGGGTTGACCGTCTGCACCAACAATTCTGACCATTTTCCTGCCTCGCATATCAAGGACCGCTTCCGCAGGAAGGGTGAGAATGTCTATTTTGTTAACAACCGAGATTTGGACACCGGCGTTCATGCCGGGTTTGAGGAACGGTATCTTTGCATCTTCAGCCTGTGGCTGTTGCGTTTCAGCCGGTGCTTCTGCAACAGGTGCTTCTTCAAAAAATCCGCCGAAAAGTCCACCTAAATTGTCTTCATCAGCCTCTTCTGCCTTAGCAACAGGTTGCTCCTGTGCCGGTTGCGCGGGTGCTTCTTGAGAGGCTGGTCTTGACGTTCCACCTGCACCGCCGTCTGCCTGGCGTTGTTGCCCCATTGCACGGAAACGTTCGCGTTGCTCTTGCGTCATATTTGCCATGTCGGGACGGGTACCACCACCTTGCCGTCTTCCGCCGCCACCCCTCATACCTTGTCGTGTTCCTGCAGCTTCCACATTCTTCAACTCGGAGGTTACCTCAAAGGTCGTCACATTCTGAATGGATTGTCCCAGGGGCGCGATCTTCAAGACTTCACCCTGAAACGGCGTATCGGGATAGGCTTCGACCGTGATGGTCACGGGTTGCCCTATCTCCACCTTACCGATGTCGGTTTCATCGACCTCTGTTACGACATAGACGGTGTCAAGATCTGCCATTGTGACAAGCGCCTGTCCCTCTGACGAGGAGAGTGAGGAGAGGCGTGAAGTAATCACCTGTCCTTCTTCGACCAGTTTTTCAAGGATCGTTCCAGAGATAGGTGCCTTGATGATCGTATCGTCATACTCAATTTGACGGAGTTCCAGCTGCGTTTCACTGCGTTTGACCGATGAGCGTGCAGTCTCCAGATCGCGTTGTTTACGCTCAATTTGCTTCTTATTCGATTCTGCGAGTTTCAAAGACTCTTCGGCTTGTACAATCCGTTGCTGTTGAAGTTGAATATCCATGTCTCGTGTGGCTTCAGCTTCTACTCTTTCATTGGCGATTTCAAGGTTAAATTCCGCCTTTCTAATATCGGCTTGTCCCAATTCAAGTTCAGCCTCAGTGGCAGGTTTCTCAACCAGTCTCAGGTTTTCAATGGCAGACTGATGCCGTGCTTCCGCCGATTTAAGTTGTGCATGTGAAGATTCTAATGCCGCTTGTGAAATGAGTTCTTTTTCGTAAAGTGTCTGATTCCTTTTATGCTCTGATATTACCAAATCCAAATTTGCTATTTCCTGATTCAATGAGGCTTGTGCGCGGCTTTTATTTTCGTCTCGCACCTCACCAGAGGTAAGCAATTTATACCGAATTCTGGAGATATTGAGGCTATTTTCGGCATCCAGTATGCCGCGCGCATTCGCTGTCTTTTCAAGGCGAATCGCTTCCTTGAGCTGGACGAGCCGTTGCCTCGCTTCAGAGAGAGATTCCTCCGCCTGACGAATCTGGATTGCCGACTGCACCTTCTGGAGTTCAAAGTCGATCTCTGCCTGTTGCAAACGCGCTTGCGCGGTCCTCAGATCCGCTTGCGCCTGATCCAAACTAATCTGCACATAGGTCGTTTCGATGACCGCAATGATTTCATCCTTCTCGACGTAATCACCTGCGTCAACCCTAAGGTCCAGAATCTTTCCGCTGGCTTTTGAACTGACTTCAACAATATTTAACGGCTTGATAGTGCCTGTCGCGTCGATTATTACGGCAATGTCGCCCCGTTCAACCGCTGCGGTCTTTACCGCTAGCATTTCAGCACCGTCTCTTCCCTCTGAGTTTGTAAATACGATGCGCCCCACGGCGACGGCGGCTACCACCAATAGCACCGCACCGACGATTGCAATAATTTTCCATTTACCTATTCCTATCATGGAGACCCCCTCCTGACATTAAAAGCGTGAAACGTTATGGTATGCCCTTCCGTATCACACTCATTCGCTAAAAAGTCTTTCACTGTTTAACTTAGTCAGATCTAAGAGAAAAAAGTTCGGCTTTTTGGTACATTTGACTTCTACAACCGCGGCATATCAACTGCACTGTCTCGCCGTTCGTGCATATTCTTTTCCATCGCTTCAGGGTACCGATCTGGCAGATGTGAAATTTCATTGAGTTTTTGAAATGCTTCTTCTTCAAGTCTCCATCCGGCTGCGCCGAGGTTATCGCGCAAATGTCCTGCGTGCCTTGCACCTACAATCACCGAAGTCATTGCCGGCTGTTCCAGTACCCACCGCAGCGCAACCTGCGCGGGGCTATGTCCAAGCTCACCAGAAACGTCAAAGAGTGCCCGTAGTGTCATCGGCGTTATCGGCGAAATAGCGTTCGGGATATGCCCATCCCTCAGCGGATCGCGTTCCGCCTTGTGTGCGTTCGCCCGGTTTATATTTACCAGAGAGGAATCCACCCGCTAACGGACTCCAAACGACTACGCCTAATCCTTTAAGTTCGCAGAGAGGAACGAGTTCCTGTTCTATATCCCGGACAACGAGACTATATTGCGGTTGATAGCATGCAAACCGTGCCCAATTGTTCGTATCACTGAGCCATAACGCTTCGGACAACCGCCATGCTTGGTAGTTGCTACACGCCGTATAGCGGACCTTCCCCTGCCGGACAAGATCGTCCAGTGCTTGAAGCATCTCCTCTAATGGGGTTTGTGTATCAACGTGGTGAATATAGTAGATGTCTACGTAATCCATCTGGAGGCGTTTAAGGCTATCGTCAATCGCCTGCATAATGTGGACGCGAGACATCCCAGAATCGTTGGGACCGGTGCCCATGGGGTTGGAAAACTTCGTCGCGATGACTGCATCGCGACGTCTGCCCTTGAGCGCTTTGCCGAGGAGGATTTCGGATTCGCCATCGGCATAAGCGTTTGCTGTATCAAAAAAGTTGACCCCGGCATCCAGAGCGAGATCCACCATGCGGTTTGATTCTGCCTCGTCGGCTCCATGACCAAAGGTCATCGTGCCTAAACAAATTTCGGACACCTTGAGTCCACTTCTTCCGAGTCTCCTATATTCCACGCTTTTCCCTCCGTGTTACAAACCGTTACAAAACAGGAACAGTCTCGCCCTCTGAACGGAGTCCCGCCTCATAGACTTTCATCACTTCCAGTGCAAACTCAAGCGACCCTTGCTCTGCCGGTTTTCCCTCCAGAATGCAGTCGCAAAAGTATCGCATCTCTTGGTAGAAGCCTTGTATGAAAAGCCCTTTGTTTTCAAGGGTGCCGAGACTGTATTGCGGTTCCCAGACGATAGCACCGCTATCAAAGCCTTCAGCGACATAACTGGTGCTGCCGCTATAATTGAAGGGCATGCCGCGCTGGAGTAAAACCCGCGTACTGTTCCGAATTTCGGCGTGGCAGCCATCACCGAAAAATTGATAAAGTTCAGAAGGTTGTCCATGTCTTGCGCCATCAGCCAAATGAAAGTTTCCGAGTGCTCCACTTTCGTACTCCAAGATACACGCGCCACCGCCTCGTTCTCCTCGACGCACGGTTACAGATGAAACCTTCCCGCCTACTGCGACAAACAGAGACAATGGATGACACCCGTTTTGGAGCCAATTCGTATGCTGTTTCTCACGTAGCACACGCTTCCCATCTTCCGGAATCGTCATCGGATAGACCCCTAAAATGCTTCGTAAGGGACCGTATTCATCGGTCGCGAAGATTTCGATAATCTTCTGCGTGGCGGGCATGAAAGCCTTTTTGAACCCAACAACCACGACGCGATCCTTTCGGTGACGGATCATCTCTGAGACTTCGGCAGCAAACATTCCGGGTGGCTTTTCCATCCAGACATGCATCCCCGCGTCTAACGCTTCACAGGCCAATTCAGGGTGCAGACGCGGCGGCGCACAGAGAAAGATCGCGTCGAGTTCTTCGTTGCGAAACATCTCCGCCATACTCGGATAGCACGCCTGAACACCATACTGTTCTGCAGTGACGCGGGCGCGTTCAATATCAAGGTCACATAACGCCTTGAGCCGAATCGGGAGAAACGTTAATGTCGGCAGAACGTTGCGATAGCCGTGTGAACCGACACCGACGACAGCGATGTTCAGCTTTTTCTCAAATTCTCTCTGATAACTCATTTTTTAATTTTACCTTGCGGTTCGGTCAGGCGAACTGGAGAGTTGATGTTCATTCCCGTAGACCCGCTTTCCACTTCGTTACAAGCTACACACTTGGAGCTAATTCTGATAACTCATTTTTTTAATTTACCTCGCGGATTTTTAATTTTACCTTGCGGTTAAATAACGTCTGTTAGAACTATGGGATGTGTTCCTCATATCTGAAGAAACACCCAAGCAAAAACCCTGCGCCGTTGTTGCAGGCTACGGGTTCCGTACAAATTCTTAGGGACGCTGTAGACTGACCAAAACCTGCGCGTAATGAAATGGAGCGGAGCAGAGAGACTCAGAAATTAAAAACTTTCGGTCAAGGCACAGGAATTACAGAAGCACGTCGTCAAGGAACGCATCCATGTCGTCTTTCATCTTACGCAATTCCGCTTGGTCTATGTACATCATGTGTCCCGCCTGATAGTAAGCCATCGTGATGTTGTCTTGCAAGGATTCATCAAGTCCCAAGTGACTGAAGGTATACTCCGAGGCTAAAAACGGTGTTGCTAAGTCGTAATAGCCGTTCGCCACAAAAACTTTCAAGGCAGGATTGATAGTCATTGCCTCGCGAAGTGTATCTGCGACGTTGACGTATTCGTTCTGATGGTCGCTGTAGTCCCACGGGTGAACACGTCGACTCAAGATTTCATAAGGCAGATCAGATTCAAATTCCAGTTCATCTCGGACATAAGCGTTGAGAGCGGCAGTATACGCGCCTTTCACGACTGCGGAACTCGGATCGTATTCAAACCTTTCACCAGCTGAATCGCTGTCGATTCCCTTGTATCGGCTATCAAAACGTCCAACCGTGCGACCTTCATCTCGGAGCAGTTCCTTGCAAAACCGCATAATGTTAATCCGTAAGTCGGTTCGATCAATATATTCCGATGTAAGTCCGGTATACTTTGCGAGTTGCTGAACGATGTTCGCACGTTGATCTGGGGTTATGGCACTCCCTTGCATCAAAGCGACGGTGTAATCGTTCATTGCGAATGCTCGCACCTCGTCCATGAACGATTCAAGTTCGGTGTCAATTCCCTCTAACTTGTCATGATACAGCGCAGTCGCTGCGTAAGTCGGTAGATAGAGGATATAGGGGAGATCGTTGCCGGGTGCGAAGCGAATTGTTTGAAAGTTCAGCACCACTGAAACAAGCATGATGGCGTTGAGATAGGTGCCGTGCCGTTCCTGAAGATAACCCGCAAGTCCACTTGCTCGCGTCGTCCCATAACTTTCGCCGATGAGAAGTTTCGGCGATCCCCACCGTTTGTAGCGTCCTAAATAGAGCAGAATAAAATCGCCAACCGATTCAATATCCCTTTTGAATCCGTGGAACTGCTTCGCTTCTTCACCAGGAACGGCTCTGCTGAACCCGGTGCTGACGGGATCGATGAAAACAAGATCCGTTTTGTCTAAAATAGAACATTCGTTATTCGTTAATTGGTACGGCGGCTGTGGTAACTCTCCATCTTCGTCGGGTTTGACACACCGCGGTCCCAGGACCCCTAAATGTAACCATACTGATGAAGATCCGGGACCGCCGTTGAAGGAGAACGTTATCGGACGTTTGGGTGTATCTTCTACATCGTCACGCGTATAGGCAATAAAGAAAACGGAGGCTTTCGGCTTCTCGCCCTCCTTGTCTATTTCCTCTTTCAGGACGAGCGTCCCCGCTGTGGCAGTGTAACGGATCTCCTCGCCATTAATAGTAACGCTATGATGCGTAACCGAGAGTTTATCTCAGGTGTATCGGAATTTTTTTGCGTATTTTTCGTATCTTCTTGGCTCATATTGAATTCCCCTTTGCTTTTTTGATTGGCAAGACTTGGGTATATTGCCTGATTAGACGCATTATAGCATATTTTGCGGAAACAGGTGCGACAAAAATGCTGGTGGGTGTGTACATATTTTGTGAGTTGTCTGTCCGAATCGCGGATTATCGCGGATGACACGGATTTCACGGATTTTGGGAAAATCGGCTGTCAACTCATAGGTGTCAATATTACAGAGGCATTCAGTTTTCGGTTATCAGTTGTCAGAATCAGGATTTACAGGAAACTCTTCGATCTTGGCAGGATTATAGGTTTTGTCGGCGGGTTCTCCAAACGTCGGCTATGGAATTCCCTCTGGGTCTGTGGAGAGAAGAAGTAATTTTCGGTTGACTTATCCCAGAAAACCTGCTATGATAACGATATGCCACAACTGCATCTCAAACCCGGTCACAAAGCAGTCCGAGACTACTACGCCACGCTGCAGCAATACGATAAACACGACATCACACACGAAGGCGCAGTCAGCGTCCCTTTTGAAATGCTGCTCACCGTCTGTGCAAAACAGGTGGATGCCACCTCGATACCACAGTTCGCTATGCGCGCGCCATCGGGCAACCGTATCGTCCTCGACGGTGTGATACTCGATGAATATGGACTCCCTTTCGCCTACTGGGAAGCGAAGGATATAGACGACGACCTCTCAATATCCGTACAGGAGAAACGCGAGGCTGGCTACCCGCTCGACAATATCCTCTTCCAAACCCCACAACGCGCCATCCTGTATCAAAACGGACGTGAGGCACTTGATCTCGACATCACCGAACCCGCAAACTTAATTGCGGCACTCCAATACCTATTCGCTTACGTCCCACCCGCGCTCGAAAACTGGCAGACCGCTGTCACCGACTTCAGAGAACATGTACCCGACCTCGCAAACAAACTAAAAGAACTCATTGAGCAACGCCACGAAACCGACCCAGCCTTCAAAAAGGCGTTCACCGATTTCTACGAAATCTGCCGCACCTCCATCAACCCGGAACTCTCACAGGATGCCGTCGAGGAGATGCTCATCCAACATATCCTCACCGAACGCATCTTCCGCACCGTCTTTAATAACTCCGCCTTCACCCGCCGAAACATTATCGCACGTGAGATTGAAAACGTCGTCGATGAACTCATCCGGCAGGCGTTCAGTCGCGAGGAGTTTCTCAAACCGTTAGACCGGTTCTATGTCGCGATTGAACAAGCCGCAATGCTCTGCAAAGACTTCACCCAAAAACAGCACTTCCTCAATACGTTTTACGAGAAGTTCTTTCAGGGATTCTCCGAGGATGTGGCGGACACACACGGCATCGTCTACACGCCACAACCGATCGTCGATTTCATGGTGAGAAGCGTTGAACACATCTTGGAAACCGAGTTCGGTCGGTCATTGTCGGATACAGGGGTTCATATCATTGATCCGTTCGTCGGGACGGGCAACTTCATCGTCCACCTCATGCAGGACATCCAAGGCACGGCGTTGGAGGCGAAATACCGCCACGAGTTGCATTGCAACGAGGTGATGCTCCTACCCTACTACATCGCCAGCCTGAACATCGAGCAGGAGTTCTTCCAACGGACGGGGACGTATCTACCGTTTGAAGGGATCGCACTTGCGGACACGTTTGAGTTGTTTGAAGGACAGCAGCAGCATATTTATGTTCACACAGGAAAACACAGAACGCGTGGAGCGACAGAAGGTGGCAGATATGTTCGTCGTTATCGGGAACCCGCCCTACAACGCGAAGCAAGTTAACCAAAATGACAACAACAAAAACCGGAAGTACAAGGCAATGGACACACTGTTGCGGGAGACATATTCGCAAGACTCAAAAGCAACGAACAAAATCGCTCTCTCGGATCCGTATGTGAAAGCGATACTGTGGGCATCAAAACGGATTGGGAAGGAAGGGTTGTTGCACTTGTGACGAACAACGGATTTCTTGACGGTATAGCGTTTGACGGAATGCGAAAACACCTCGCAAGTGATTTCGACGCAATCTACATTTTGGATCTCGGTGGGAACGTCCGTCAGAATCCGAAATTGTCAGGGACAACGCATAACGTCTTCGGGATTCAGGTCGGGGTGAGCATCAATTTTTTCATTAAGAAAGGTGCTATCAAGATAGATTCAAGCCCACCGAAATCTTCTATGCACATGTTGATGAATTCTGGCGGAAAGAGGAGAAATATAACTATCTCAATTCAAAGCGGCATTATCAGAACATCGAATGGCAGCAGATAACTCCTGATAGTCGATATACATGGCTTTCTGAAGGACTGCAGGACGAGTTTGATACCTTTATTCCAATGGGTAGCAAAAAAGCGAAGACGACGAAAGGAATAGCGGTAGATGTTATTTTCAAAACCTATAGTCCGGGTATTAAAACTAACCGTGATGCCTGGGCTTATAACTTCAACCGAGGTGCCCTCACGGAGAACATTCAGCGAATGAGTGAGACCTACAACGCGGAGGTAGATCGGTGGAAACGGCGGGGAGATCGGACGGAAACCAACGTTGATGCTTTCGTACTATATGATGACACAAAAATTAGTTGGAGTCGGGACCTAAAGGTAAAGTTAAATCGAGGGGTAATTGTTGAATATACGGAACGCAAAGTGAAAACATCTCTCTATCGCCCGTTTACGAAATTAAATCTTTATTTTGACCGCACAATAAACAATGATGTGCATGTGTTCCCCTCTATTTTTCCAACACCAATAGCAGAATCGGAGAACCGAGTGATTTGCGTCAGCGGCATAGGAAGTAACAAAACTTTTCAATCTTTAATAGCTGATGTGATTCCAGATGTCCAACTCGTAAGCAATGGTCAATGTTTCCCCTTCTACACCTACAATGAGGACGGCACAAACCGACAAGAGAACATCACCGATTGGGCATTGGCGGAATTCCGAACCCACTACGGCGATGACACCATCACCAAATGGGACATCTTCCACTATAACTACGCCCTCTTGCACCATCCCGCCTACCGCGAGAAATACGAGGCAGAACCTCAAGCGCGACCTCCCGCATATCCCCTTCGCCGAAGACTTCTGGGGATTCGCCAACGCAGGTACGGCGTTAGCAGACCTCCACGTCAACTATGAATCCGTTCCGAAATATGATGAACTGAAATACATTGAAACACCCGGTATGCCGATAGATTGGCGCGTTGAGAAGATGAGATTGTCCAAAGACAAAACACAATTGAAATACAACGACTTCCTGATGCTGGATGGTATTCCTGCTGAAGCGTTCGGCTATCGTTTAGGCACGCGCTCTGCGTTGGAGTGGGTGGTGGATCAGTATCGCGTCAAGGTAGATAAACGGAGTGGGATTCGGAACGATCCGAATCGTGCGGATCAGCCGCAGTATATTGTGGATTTGATTGGACGTGTTATCTCTGTGAGTTTGAGGACGGTGGAAATTGTTGATGGGTTGCCTGCATTGTAGGTTTTGCCTCTACTCCTCGCTGGTGAAGTTTCTTAACCTTGCTTTTAGTTAAAAACCTCGCCAGCGGCGGAGAGAGGTTGCGTATCTATAGACCCAATGAACGGGCAATGAATGGTTTCCCTACTACAAACTGTGAAACCCCGCCAGCGAAGTTCTCAGGGCATAAACACCCATCCCTACAAAATTCAAGAATCACAACGATAATCCATTCGGGGTTACAAACCCCTCCCACAAGATAAGAAAATCGGGGTTACAAACCCCTCCCACATTACCGATTTAAATTCTTAATCTTCATGAAACCGCACCTACCAGACTGAAGCGACACCCGTGTCGTTAGGAAGTGCGCAAAGAATTTGACATAATCGGAAAATATGCTACACTTTCTACAAAGGAGAAACACAATGAAAAAACCGATCCGCTTAGGACTGATTGGCTGTGGTGGCATTGTGCAAAATACACATGCCCGTGCCTATCGTTCCCTCCCAGATACTGTCGAGGTTACTGCACTCGCTGATATTGTCCCGGAGAATCTGCAAAAGATTGGGGAACTGTTCGATGTGCCTACAGAAAACCGATACGCAGATTATCGGGAAATGCTGGAACACGCAACAATTGACGCGGTAACCGTTGCCACACCGCACTCATTTCATGCTGAGCAGGTAATAGAAGCCGCAGGTGCAGGCGTTGCCATTATCTCTGAAAAACCGATGGCGACGACGTTAGAAGAGGCGGATAAAATCATGGAGGCAGTCCGCCGTAATAGCGTCCGCTACACAGTGGTGCATAACTATATTTTTACTGCTGGAATGCGAGCGGCGATGACAGAATTGGATGCCCTGGGTGAATCCCATTTCGGACGAAGCGTCGGCATGGGACTGAAACCGACAGATTTCTCGGCTGACCATCCGACTCCAGCGTTCGCATGGCGCGCGAGCAGAGCAAAAGGGGGTGGATGTATCATCGACACAAGTTACCACGAAATCTATTCCGTCTGCACGCTGATGCGATCCCCAGTACGCTATGTTGAAGGACGGGTCCAAACTCTACGTTTTGACATTGACGTTGACGACATCGCGATGTTGCTCTGCGAACATGAAAACGGTGCTGTCACTACGGTTTCCGGTGCCTGGTGCGTGCCTGCTACAGATTTCGGTTGGTGCGAGATGCACGCAGAAAACGGCTCTCTGCGAGTCCGACATCGACAAAATGTGAAGGACGCACTCCGGCGTTTCACAAGAGCAGATGGCTGGAAAGAGTTAGACCTCCCCACATTCGACGAGGCTGAGCAGAACGATGCCAGCGGACATGTCCGATACTTCACGGAGACCTTCAATGCACTTGCTGCGGACACAGCACTACCGGTGCCTGCGGAGAAGGCGTATCACAACCTCGCGATTATCGAAGCCGCACGTAAAGCGACAACGGAACGCCGCGCTATCGAGATTCAGTTGCCGTAGCGATATTTGACCTTTTCAAAAAGGAGTAGAAATGAAAAGAGGTCTGCTATTTCACGTTTTGGTCGTTTTGATGTTAGGGCTAAGTTTAAACGTCCCGATGCGCTGTTTGGCACAACAGAATACGGTAGTCCTTAACGCTAAATCGGACGCTGAATTTGATGCTGAGGATAATGTGAATACAACATTATGGCTTGCCGCCGGGGGGATCTTGGGAGTGGCGGGTAATCTTCCGCTCGGTGTTGTTGCTATCGGTGGGGCTTATGTCTACCAGCCTGTTCCGCCTGCTGAGCGACTTCTCGGCAAATCGGCGGAATATGTTAGTATTTATACTGATGCCTACAAAGCGCGAGCGCGGAGGCTTCAATTGGGTGCCGCTGCAAAAGGGGCACTCGGCGGGTCGGCTGCGTTCTGCTTATTAGGGGTGCTTAAGATAAAGCCGTGGGCAGACTTCGTCCTCTGGTAGGCATGAGACTGAAATTAAAGCATTATTATAACGCAAGTTGCGACCTTTTTATAGACATAGCACTCCGCTGGAGTGCGGTGCCTTGGCGACACGATTTTCTATAGACATATCACCCCTACGGGGTGTGAACATAAGTTTTTTGGGTGAAAAACTTATGTTCAAATACATAGGACCTCTTGGGTGGCAACTTGGGTTATTTCGACAAGGCGGTGACGAGCCCGAAAGTTCGCCACCGTGCATAAAAATAAGAATACTATCCACGCAAGAGATGTCGCAAGGCGTTTGCGATGATATCCTCTTCTCCTGCATTGAGGGTGTAGGCACTAATCACGATGGTTTCTTTACCGTGCGTATTCACCTTGATACGTGGGGTGCCAACATCCAATTCCTGTGCGACCTGCGCGGCATCTTTGCCACTAATGGCAGTATCAAACGCAACATGTAGATTCGACAGTGTATGGCTTTTCTCTTGGTAGTGGACTTCGCACGATACACCGTCAAGATTCTCAAGACCCTCTGCGAGGACAGCGTATCTCCCATCCTGTTCCTTTGACCGCACCTCGTGGTTCGTTGACAACCAGATGTCGATAGCGGTCACCAATCCGATAATCTCCTGCCGGTCTACTTTCATACCGCGCCCAACGGGTCTCGGTCCAATGAAACCATGGGTTCGTACTGTTTCAATGAGATCCTTTCTGCCACAAACGAATCCTGTAGAGTGAGGTGCATTGAAATACTTACCACCGAAACAGACGAGATCCGCAGACTGTGCGTTCCGCCGGAAGTAATCAAGCGGATAGATTTGAGAGGCGGCATCGGCGATGAGTGGCAGATTGTGTGAGTGCGCAATCCCAACCGCTTCCGCTAACGGGACGGCGTTGCCCTGATCGGGTTGGATAAGATATGCGACTGCGGCTGTGTTTTCACCGATTGCATCGTTCAACGTCTCAGCGGTGCAGCCGTTTTCGTCTCCTACAGATATGAGTTTACTTCCTGGAATCGTAAACGCACGATCATAGCCGTAGTGCTGCATCTTCTGAAAAACGATTTCGTCCTTTAGTCCGGTGGTATCTGGAAGTTGTGCACACTTGTCAGGATCGCTTCCGGTCATTACTGTTGCCGATGCTAAGACGAGTGCGGCATAGCACCCAGCAGTGATGTATGCGTCTTCAACCCCCAACTGCTCAGCGATGAATTGCCCCGATTTTTCGAGCAATTCCTCCATTTCGACGTAACTTTCATCTGCTTGACGCATTGCGTCCCGGACGGTTGCGGAGGGTGTGGATCCGCCTCGGACAGTCTGGTTGCCAGTCGCATTAATGACGGGTCGTGCGCCGAGTTTTTTGTAGATGTTTCCCCAACCTGTATTCGCCATGAGATAATCTCCTTGCGTAGGGTGTCTCCAGAGCTCGAATGAGAAGCGTTAACGGTTTCGGATAAGGAATCTAAGCGTACTGTAACAGGAAATAGAGAATTCGTCAATAGATTTTTGCTGCGTCCGAGGGTCATTCAGTTTTAAGAAATCATCGGATTTCACGCCTTTTTTTACGATCCGGTGCGGTTAGGAAACCGCACCTACCGGGTCTGGGTCCTCAAAATCCTCCTAAAGAACGGAAAACTGAACAGCTCTGTGCCGCGTCCAGACTTAGAGGATAGTCAATTCATCTTCTTCGCCACTTTCCTCCAGGATCGTTGTCAATTCTGCCGCGACTGCACCGAATGCTTCAGATTGCGGGGACTCCGGATGTCCAGCGACAATCGGCACGCCGATGTCACCCGCAGTACAGACTTCAGCATCAAGCGGAATCTGCCCTAAGAACGCAACACCGAACCGTTCGCTGGTATTTTTACCGCCATCAGCGCTAAAGATCTCTGTTTTTTCATTGCAGTGTGGACAGAGGAAATAGCTCATGTTCTCAATAATGCCGAGGATCGGGACACCGAGCCGTTCAAACATGGCAACGCCGCGTCGGACATCTGCGAGAGCGACATCTTGTGGGGTCGTGACAATGAGCGCACCGGTGAGGGGAATCGCTTGCGTTAGAGAGAGGGCGACATCACCTGTCCCCGGTGGAAGGTCGATGATGAGATAATCGAGTTCACCCCAGTCTACATCGCTGAGAAATTGGCGGATGGCACTATGTAACATCGGTCCGCGCCAGATCATCGCCTGTTCTTCTGGCACCATAAACCCGATTGACATGAGTTTAATGTTATGACGGACGAGAGGCATCAATTTGCGTTCTGGGGTCGTTCGCGGCTGTTCTTGGATGCCCATCATTGTTGGGATACTGGGACCGTATGCATCAGCGTCCATCAAACCGACTGTTGCCCCTGCATTCGCCAAGGAAATCGCGAGATTGGTAGCGACAGTAGATTTCCCGACACCCCCCCTTTCCACTGGCGATCGCGATTTTATACTTGATATTCGGCAATGTAATGTTTTGTTGCTGTGGTTGTTGTTGAGGTGGTTTCGGTTGTTGGGGTTGCCGACCAGAAATTTGTGAACCCGCAATTACCTTTAGGTCGGGGTGGGCTTTCGTCGCGGTATCTGAGGAGGGTTCTGGCGTTTTTTTCTCGCCTTTTTTTAGAAATCTCATATCTATTCTCCTAATTGATCCAATTTTTTTGATAAGGTTGCAAATGTCGACAGTGGAAGTGTGTAGCGTTTAAATGTGACGACACACCACAAAATAGTTTAACATTTTTTCCGACAATTTTGTATAATATGTATACGAAAAAGCGCGTGATCCGATAAAGTTCCAAAATTTAATTCGGAAACCAGAGAATTGCCAATCTAATTATAGTAAAGCCTATAATTACTTGGACGCTCTAAAGAGGCGAGGATACAATCCTCGCCAGCGGCGGTGGGGTCGTTGTTCACTGACTAACTGTCCACATATTTTTCGACTTTACTATAATTGCTATGAATCTTGCGCACCGACCTATTGCAAAGGAGTTTTTTATGAACATTCTGATGTTACGCCATTCCGCTGGCTTTGAGCACACGTATCTACCGAACGCGGAAGTCACACTGAAACAGATTGGTGCCGCAAACGGTTGGAACGTCACCACAACGCACCGATGCGACCGAATCACTGCTGAAAACCTCGCAAACCAAGATATTCTCGCATTCGCAACGACTGGTAACCTCGCGTTTGATGACGCTCAAAAAGAGGCACTGTTGAGCTTCGTACGGAACGGCAAAGCATTCTTCGGCATCCACAACGCGACAGATACCTGCTACGACTGGCCCGAATACGGTGAGATGCTCGGTGGTTATTTCGCCGGACACCCGTGGCATCAAGAGGTGAACGTGATCGTGGAAGACGAGAACCATCCAGCAACTCGTATGCTGGGCAGCAGCTTCAAGGTCGTTGATGAAATCTACACGTTCAAAGATTGGGATCGCTCCAAAACACGGGTCCTGATGCGTATGGACAACGATTCCATCGATCTCTCTCGCGGTAACCGTGAGGACCACGACTACGCACTCGGCTGGTGCCATACCTACGGAAAAGGGCGCGTGATGTATACGGCACTCGGACACCCCGATGCCCTTTGGAGTGAAAAATGGTTCCATGAACACATCACAGGATGTCTCAAATGGGCGGGCGGATTGGAAGATTAGTTGTTACCCAATCTACGACAAATTCCGCTTGATTAGGCGAGGTTCCAAACCTCGCCAGCGAAAGAACAGAAGGTGGGCGCGTTTACATAGCGCGCCTATTTAATTTTGGGTCAGCTCGATATAACACCAGTGGCTCGTAGGAGGGTTTCCTGTACCAACAGTTCGTGTGATATTGGACGATCAGGAGGCTGTGTTCCTGCAATGGTCGCTAAAAACGCGTCGAGCTCAAGTTCATAGGTGCGTTGACGGCTTTCACCTGCTATCTCGACAACCTGTTCACCTTGTGAATACCCGCCCTTCGCTTCCTCCAAGCAGAGTCGAACCTTCAATCCGGGTTCAAACGGCTCAATGATGATAGCACTCCCCTTGGTCCCGTAGACTTCAAATCGACGCGCAACCGGTCTCGGCTCCAACGCTGAAATCGAGATAAATGCCATCGCTTTCCCAAATTCATAGACAGTTAGGGTATTATCTTTGAAAGGCTCGACTGAATCGGCATCGTTTCGGAGGAAAGAGGTTACCTTCTCCGGTCGTCCGAGAAGCCAGAGCACTTGGTCGAGTACATGTCCACCCAAATCAAAAAAGATACCACCGATGTGTTCGCTGATGCGCGTGCGCGCTTCGTGAGAGATATTGGTCGACATGTGTGCGCGAACGGAAAAAACATCACCTAAGAATCCAGATTTCACCCACTCGGCGACCTGTTTAAAGGCAGAGTGGTAGCGCAACATATAGCCCATCTGTACAAGTAGTGACTTTTCCTGAGCGGTGTTAATGACGCGCTGCCATTGCTGCCAGTTTTCACCAGCAGGCTTGTCGTACCAAACGTGCTTACCAGCGTTTACAATCTGCTCCGTTTGATCCAAACTCTCGACATTGTTCCCTTCTGAAGCAATTGCTACGATAGTCTCATCGTCCAACATTTCTGCGGCATCCGCGAACCAGTGAACATCAGCAAATGTCCCCCCATTAGCTTGAAGTTTCTGGCGTTGTTGTGCATCGGGTTCAAATACACCTGCGACCTCAACGTCAGGATTGACAAACATTGCCTGCAACTTCCCGCGCGCGTGTCCATGTTTGGTTCCGTATTGTGCCATCCGTATTTTCGCCATAGTTCATCTCCAAAATCCGAAATTTGCAACGTAGTGTTGTATGGGTATTATATGAACATCTGATTGAAAGTCAAGGAATATTTACGGAATAGCAGTCAGCGGTCAGCAATCAGCAGGATAACCTATAGATTGCGTAGAACGTCGTGAAACCCGACAAAACGCATCACGCTGCCGAGATCAGGAGAGCACCGCTACAGAAGTGCTAAATCCGCTGTTGTATCGGAGATTGGTTGATTTTTCTCACTCAATATGTTTCAATATTGTTTGCTTGATGTAGGGGTTTCCGCCACTACATCATTATCATATACGAAATTTTTCATGTTTTATTTCAGAGGAAAAATATGAACTATAATCAACAGTTTTGTGCTTTGGCTGTTTTGGCGTTGCTGTCCATATCTCTAATAGTTGTTGCCAACGAGGAAGTCAAAGAAGTTGTTACGATGGAAGAGGTCGTGGTTACTGCCCGCAAGCGAGAGCAACGGTCTGTGGAGGGTGGTCTCCGACTCGCTTACCTATTCCCAAACGCCGACATAGAGGTGGCACTTATAGGGCGTAATATCCTTAACGATACATCTCCCACTGGTGGTATTGACTTCAATAATTTGACCGGCTATGTCAATGAACCGCGTTTTTGGAGCATGGAATTGGTGCGGCGTTTTTGAACAATACCGAATTTCAGACCGTAGGTTGGGTTTCAGGTTATAGAAAGAGAGTCGGGAATCGGAGTTCCCTCCTACAGAAGAACTAAATGCCCTTACCTCTCCCAAGCAAAATTTGACAAAAAAGCATAGCCCCTTTAGAATAGAGAAAAAAATGAAAGTAGGACACAGAATGAGAATTGCAATATGCAACGAAATGTTTGAAAATTGGAAAATCGAAGATGTTTTCACCTATGCCGCTGAGCTCGGTTATGAGGCGGTTGAGATCGCACCCTTCACTTTAGCGGACTCAGTCCTTGACATCAGCGAGAGCGAACGGACACGCATCCGCAAGGCAGCAGAAAGCGCGAAGATAGAGATTGCTGGGCTTCATTGGCTACTCGTCTCACCCCCCGGACTGTATATTAACCACCCGGACGCAGATATTCGGAAAGAAACGCGGGACTATTTCCTCGCGCTGATTAACTTATGCGCCGACTTAGATGGCAAAGTGATGGTGATCGGTTCACCCCAACAACGAAATGTGATGGAACCTCTCTCGTTTGAAGAAGCTTGGGAATACGCGCTGGCGACTTTTTCAGAAGGTGCAGAACTGGCAGGTGAAAGAGACGTGATGTTGTGCATGGAACCGCTGTCGAGCGATCAGACGAACTTCATCACGCACCCAGACAAAGCAGTCGAGATGGTGAACGCCGTTAATCATCCGAATTTTCAGATGATTCTGGATGTGTGTAGCACTGCGAAAGAGGGATTGGATATGCCGACGCAGATCCGCAACTGTGCACCGCACGTCGCACATTTCCATTCCAACGACGATAACGGTTACCTACCGGGCTCTGGCAGTGTGGACTATCCACCAATTATTGAGGCACTGAAAGAGATTGATTACAAGGGTTATGTCTCGACGGAGGTTTTCGACTTCAAACCGGATCCGCAAACGATTGCAAAACAGAGCATTGAATTTGTGAAGTCACTGCTGTAGGAGAAACCATGAACAGCGTTATCCATGAATGCTACGAGGCATATAGCACACTCAGAAACGAAATGGGACGATGGCTGAAACAGAGCATGTTGCTTGACCCACCAGGTCCCAACGATGGCGGCGAGGACGAGGCAAACTATGCGCTCGCATGGTTTCCACATTACCTAATTACCGGTGATGCGACCGTCCTACAGCACTTCGACACATTGAAGACGGCACTGCTCGGTTGGGTGAAACGTGATTGCGTCCACGGTTATGAACCGAAGGCAGAGGCACACCACGGACCAGAACCGTTCCTCCTTTTCCTACCCCGTTATATCGGTCTCATGCCCGAAGATACAGAAGCGACCATGCTTTTGACGGATGCAGCGGAGCATATCGGGAATTGGGTACCAGAGATTCCGCCTTGGTATGATTACGACCGAGACACGTTCATCGGCTATAACATCGGCAGCAAAATTGTGACGAACGACGAAAAAGACGCTTATGAAATGGCGGAGCATTTCCGATTTATCCATATTGCGATCGCGGCGTCCCGTGTGACAGGCGAAGAACGCTATCTGACGTGGGCGTTGCGGTACGGCAGAAAGCGCGCCGAACGGCTTATTTCGGCACCGGACCCAATGCCGCTACTGTGGACTCTCGACGGAGAGGGGTTCGACGAAGCCACCGTCAACGAGAAGAATCTACAGCGACTTGTGGGCAAGTTCGCACCACATCCCAGGTGACCCGCTCGCTGGCATTGAAGTCTTGCTGGCTTCGGGTGCCATCTATGCGTTGGGCGATCTCTATCTGCTATCTGGCGAAGAGATTTTCAAAACGGCAGCGAAACGGATTGTAGAACCGTTAGTGTCATCGTTGAACGATCCGTATAACGATCCCGCAGCTGCTGCGTTGAGCTACTATCGTTGGACGTTCGAGGATACTGGGCTCGACTCGGAGATCTGTGCCGGATTAGCGGATCTCCCCGATGAACCACCAGAGTTGCTGGCGTTGATTTTCCCGCAAGAAACACGCCGTCGGGAACCCGGTGTGGGTAAACGATCAGATATGGCGTATTGGGGCGAATGGTCAGACGATGGATCCGTGAAACCGATTCAGGAGCCGTCAACTGCCACCTTAACGCTCGCCTACCAAGTGACAGGCGAAATTGCTTACGCAATGCGAGCGTTGCGAAGTGCTGCGACGCGCTTACATATTGCAAGACGTGTACTGCGCGGTGGAAGGGAACACGCAGATATGGGAGGTGCGGTCTGCTCAATTGCAGCCGGACATGGACGAAATTGGGGACAAGGTGCTGTTACAGCGTGCTACGGTCCTCTGCTTCTCGGCACGCGTGAAACCCAAAGCGAAGTCACACAACTTCTGGAGGTTCGACAGGGGGACAGACAAAATCATCCACCGACGCTCCTCTCTTTGGTGCGACCTTTTCTCGAAACAGAAAAGCGTGCAGAAGTAGTCTTTTACAATGGCGGCGACACGCCGCTTACATTTTCATGGCGATTGCAAACTGGTGAAGGGACTACGTGGCAGAGGATAACACTCGGGGCAGGCGAAATGAAACAAATCTAATCTGAGATTCGATAAAATTCACACCGGATGCCAGGTATGGAAACCTATTTTTACATGCTTAATTCCGGAAATTCTGAGCAATGAGCGTCAAATCGAGGATATTAACAGTGCCATCGGCATTTACATCAGCTTTCGGATCCGTCTGCCCAAAACGAGAAGCCACAAAGACGAGGTCCAAGATATTCACAGTTCCATCGTCATTCACGTCATAAGGCATCTCGGTCGCGAGCAGATTTGAACGGACCAATTCAAAGACGATATCCTGATCTGTTTCAAATTTAACGGGTCCGAGATTTGGCGCGAGCCACTGATAAGAGGTAGAACGACTTGCGCCTAATGCAGCAACGGTTTTCGTGTCTACACGAATTTTTAGGCAGTTCTTAAATGTTCCAGCTGGTGTGACGACATCCTCAACAGCGACAACTTTGTTCACACTGGAGATCGTAAGGGGACCTACTATATTTACTTCTGTCTCTCCCCGCGTCTCCCACACTTCTCCAAGTCGAAGCATCGGCGGAAAAAATATGGTGGGTGGCGAGAATTCTACACGCGCCACGCCAAAAGCGTCACCAAGCTCAGCGACAATTCTGTGAAGTTTCATACCTTCTTCGTCTACCTGGACAAAGAAGGTGCTTGTATTGACTGTGCTTGTGCCCAGTACTTCTGTTGTAATGTTAAGGACGCGAACCTGTGCGCCGTTGAAAGGTTCATCGGTCGCCTCAATTGTGTAAGTGGTACGTTCCGCACCGTCTGTGCTCTCCAATACCCAAGTATTCCCAATATCAGCAGGGTAATAATTCTGAGCGTTTGTTATGCTGGTGAAAGCACAGAGCAATGCAACAAACAGGACGGTATTTCTGACCATTTGATTCCCCTTTGTCGAAGTTGGTGCGGTTACAATTATACCACTGAAAATAGCGAGGTGTGCTAAAAAAACGCCCTGATGAAAACACCAAGGCGTTTGCGTGAATTGTATTTGCTGTGTTCCCTACTTAAGGATAACCATCCGTCGGGTCGCAGCAAAATCTGATGTCTGTAGCGTATAGAAGTAGATACCACTCGCGACACGCTCACCTACCGCGTTCTTACCATCCCAGTACGCAGCACCTGACGGCGTCATATACGCACCTAACGGCTGCCATCCCAAATCCAGCGAACGCACCAAATGACCCGATATATCATATATATCGATCTTCACTTCTGTCGCTTTACTCAACTGATACGGAATCCATGTTTCTGGATTGAACGGATTCGGGAAGTTCTGCGCCAAAAGCGTGTCTTGCGGCTGCACATCTCCAACATTCAGTTGTAGACTCAGGAACGCATTGCGAATATCCATCGTCGTAACCGTGCGTTGGAACGGACCTGATACGATGCTACCACGATCGTCGTAAAGGGCGACTTTGAGTCTATCACCTGCTTCAACAACACTCTTGCGGTTCAGGTCTGCCCAGACAGCGGAGGAACGTTTCGCAGCACTTGTGAGATTCTCCGTGGCGATAACACCGGTGCGGAGGTTCTCAGCGACGAGGGTATATGCCGTGCCAGTTTCCATGCCATGGATGTCACTGGTAACGATGAACGCCCATGCGCTGTCATAGGTTGCGAGCGCGGGTGCGGCGGGAGCATCATCTCCACCAGCCTCAGCGGCAGCAGCCTCTTCAGCAGCCTCTTCAGCGGCTGCGTCGTCAGCGGGTGCTTCTTCAGCAGCAACTTCCTCAGCGGGTGCCTCTTCAACAGGTGCTTCCTCGGCAGGCACTTCTTCAGCAACTTCCTCAGCGGGAGCATCTTCGGCGGGTGCTTCTTCAGCGGGTGTCTCTTCAGCAACTTCCTCAGCAGGTGCTTCCTCGGCGGGTGCTTCTTCAACAACTTCCTCAGCGGGAGCATCTTCGGCGGGCACATCCTCAGCAACAGGTTCATCTGGCATCGGTGCCGGTTCAGGCTGGTTGTCCCACGCATCACCTGTGAACTTCACCATGCCGCCAGCCAGCGTATTCACGATATAACCTTTGTCCCCCATAATGCCAAAGCCATCACTTTCATCAGCAACCGTGTAAGCGACAAAACGCTGCTTCGCCGCATCGAGTTGAATAATAGCTGTTGCGTCCAGCATTTCTGCCAACGATTTCGCTGTGTAGGGATCTGCCGGCATCAACGGAATTGAAATCATGTTTAAACCGGGTTCAAGGGTTACATCAAAACCGGGACCTTCTACGACTGGTTCCTCAGGAGTTTCAGCAGGTGCATCCTCGGTGGGAGGTACCTCTTCAACGGGAGCCACTTCTTCAGCAGACGGTGCCTCCTCAACAGCAGGTGCTTCTTCAGCGGCTGGAGTCTCCTCAGCAGGTGGTGCTTCCTCGGCAGCGGGTGCTTCAACTACGTTGTAACTTATCAAGTCAAAAACAATTTCCTGATCATTCTGATATCTGATGGGACCGACATCAGGGGCAAGCCATAGGAACTCATTCTCACGTACAATTGTAAGTGCCGTGACGGCTCTTCGATTAGTCTCCACCTTAACACAATCTTTGAATACGCCGATCGGGGTTTCAACGTCCTCGATTGCAACAACCTCTAAAGCGCTGGTAGTGGTCGCTGCTCCCACCAGTTTTAGTTCTGTTTCCGTCACAATTTCCCACGTACGTCCTAATGGTAGTGCGGCGGGGTAATTAGTAACCGGTGGATCATAAGTCGCCTCGGCGATGCCAAATGCCCCTCGGTCGAAGGCAACTTGATGTAGTATAATCTCTCCATCTCCAGCAACAGTTACCCAGGACTTGTCAAACGCAACTACGTCTGTTCCGACTGTCTCCTTGGTGATCTTCAGGATGATAAATTCCTCACTGTCAACAGTTTCGGGTCCCTCAAAGGTATAGGTGCGTCGCTCTGCCCCGTCGGCACTCACAAAAACCCACGTATTGCCGACCATCGACGGAAAATAATTTTGCGCCATCGCTACAGGTGCGAAACTACACAAGGCTTAACACCAAGAACGGCGTCAGCCAAAACATAAATTTGGGAGTTTTCATAACCTAATATCTCCTTTTTTTAAAAGACACAAACTTAGAGTAATGTTCACAAAAAGGAACATCATTCCAATGTAACTCTCGGGTGGGGCAAGCACATATAATTCATCAAGATGCAAGTCGGTCGTATGAGAGCGCTCACGCCACCCCTCTGGCGAGATGTCATTCTGTTCCGAGACGTACCGATATCCAAGCCACATTCCGACCGCCATCACCAGAACTACAACAATAACAACAACTAATGCCACTTTCCAATTTACCATGCAGATTTTTTCCAAGCTCCATGTAATAATGGACGAAGGTTATCACATTCATCAAAGGTTTTCAAGAAAAAACATCGGATTAGGACAAGTCACCACAGGATCGTCAAGGTTAATTACCCAGATTCTGCGCGATACGCACCAAATCCAGAACGTTAACAACCCCATCGCCCGTGACATCTGCGTCAGAATCGGATTCTCCGAAACGAGAAGCCACAAAAGTGAGGTCCAAGATATTCACGATTCCGTCTCCTGTCACATCGTAAGGCGAGGGTTCAGGCATAGCGTCCTCCTCAGGAGGGAGTTCGGATATTGCGTCCTCCTCAGAAGACGGTTCAGGTATAACATCCTCCTCAGGAGGCGGTTCGGGGGTGCTATCTTCCTCTGTAGTTTCAGGTTCCTCAGGCACGGTTAGCAGATTGGAACTCACCAAGCTAAAGAGCAGCCCATCGCTGTTCTCGAATTGGACAGGACCTACATCGGGAGCGAACCATTGGTGAGTATTTGAATCAATATTTAGGAATCCACCTACAGTGAAATTCAAATCTAACTGCACCTTGGCACAGTTCTCGAATGTTCCAACTGGGGTAATCACGTCCTCAAATCCAATAACTTCCAAGTCAGTGATGCTGCTCCCAGATAAATCAAGTCCGATCTCCAGTTTCGCTTCTGCATCCGCCGCTATCTGCCACGCATCGCCGAGTTCCAACTGTAAAGGGAAAAAAGTAACAGGCGTTGGAAAATCTGCAGTCACGATAGCAGGCGGGTCGACTAATTCAAAGATAGTTCTATGGAGTTCAATGGCTTCGTTACCGACACTCAAAAAATACCTGTCAGTGTCAACTTCTCCAGTGCTGAGTTCCTCGGTACTAATTTTCAGGAGGATACGCTCTTGACCGTCAATAATTTCGGGTCCCTCAAGCGTATAGGTGCTCCGTTCTGCACCATCAACACTCTCAAAAACCCACGTATTCCCGATGTCTGCCGGATAATAATTCTGTGCTGCCGCTGTCAACACCAAAGAACAAGCGAGACTCATGATCAGAACTGGCTTGAGCCAACGTAAAAATGCGGTCTTTTTCATATTTTTTTTCCTTTCAATTAACGGAGTTCACGAGTTCCAGTCGCGTGCGAACGGTTTGACGCACTTCATCACAAATATGCATGGCATGTTGTGTATTGTCGGCAGTCGCTATATCTCCAGGACAGCGGGAGTCCACTGCATACGCTGTGATTATTTTAAAGTCAGGCTGCCAATGGGCCCAAGCAGGCAGTCGTTGGCACAATCAACGTCAGTAGTTCTTCAAGATTGTGCGTTCTTGGAACAGGGATGTTCGTTTCCTGCAGCCATGCCTTGAGATATTTTTCGATACACTGTTGTGCGTGGAAACAGATAGAGTTATGTACGGGATCTGGAGCTTGTTGCAGCCACTTCGCTGAATTATAATCTTCTTCAGCTTTCTGTACCCACTCCAAGGTCAAGGGGTTCATACAGTCCGGCTCCTTTTTGCCAGCGTTCGGTGTGCTTTGCCGGTTTCTTATATTGTAATGCGCGTCGGATCCGTGAAGGATCTCGCCTTTTTCGGTAATTTCTCGGAGAAACCAATCGTTATACGAGACTCTATAAGCGATATCTTCCGGTGAACGGACTAAGAGATCCATGCCGAAGTGGTATGGGAATCCGTTGCCGGATTTTTATAGCTGTGTTACGAAATTCCGATTTCGGGATATCCATGACAACGAGCAGGTCTACATCCGAGTCTTCCGTGGGGGTGCCGTAGGCATAGGAGCCAAAGAGGATAACTTGTAGCGGTGCGAATTCGCGCACGATGTCGGCACATACAGCTTGAATCTCTGTTCGAGCAACCATCTGCTCCGTCCTTTCGATTGAAGTATCCTGTAAAGTCTGCCAAGATTCCCAAAAGTATTCAACAGGATCATTCAAGTTTAAGAAATTAATGGAAAATTGAATAGCCCTATCCCTTCAACCCATCCTGTTGACTTTTTGCAAGCTTCGTGTGATAATAAGAGTATATTACTATATTTATTGCAATTTTGCAAGAGGGAAAAGAGCGCAGTGCTGACTTGACTGCGTGCCACTCAAAATAGTAAAAGGAGAAATGTAGATGCGTTTAGATGGACAGGTGGCGATTGTTACAGGTGGCGGCGGAGGTATTGGGAAAGCAACGTGTCTCGCTTTCGCCAAAGAAGGTGCGGATATTGTAATCCCTGAAGTGAATTTAGCGAATGCGGAAGCGGCTTCAGCAGAAATAACTGCGCTCGGTAGGCAATGTCGGGTAATTGAAACAGATGTAGCGGATGGCAACTCTGTGCGTCAGATGGTTCAGGAAACACTTGACACGTTCGGACGGATCGATATTTTAGTCAATAATGCGGGTATTTTTAGCTACACGCGTATCGATGCATGCACGGAAGCGGAATGGGATCGGATGATGGCTGTGAACCTCAAGGGTCCATTTCTCTGTTCACAAGCAGTAATGGAAACGATGAAAGCACAACGCTCCGGACGGATCATTAATCTCGGTTCGTTGGCGGGACAGGTTGGAGGTTTGGTCGCCTCTGCCCCGTACTCGGCTTCAAAAGCGGGTGTAATGTGTCTGACGAAATCGTTGGCACGTGTGCTTGGAGAGTACGGAATCACGGTGAATTCCATCGCACCGGGGGTAGCGGCAACGGAGATGGCGAAAAACCATCCCGACATGACAGATCAGATTCCACTCGGACGGGTCGCTGATGCCTCGGAGATCGCGAGTGCCATCCTCTTTCTTGCCTCAGAAGACGGGCGTTACGTGACCGGTGCGACACTTGATGTCAACGGTGGGATACGGATGGCTTAAAAAACTATGAAGGAGAAAAAATATGGACTATAAAGCACTTGGACGAGCAGGCGTAAAGGTCTCACCGCTCTGTCTCGGTACAATGATGTTCGGTGGACCGACGAACGAAAAGGATTCAATTCGGATCATCCACAAGGCGTTGGACGCGGGTATTAATTTTATGGACACCGCGAATGTCTATAACGACGGCGAATCGGAACGGGTTATCGGGAAAGCGGTCCGCGAAAACCGAGAGAAATGGGTTATTGCGACAAAGGTACACGGTGGGATGGGAGAGGATGTGAATGCCGCGGGTTCACACCGATTTCATATCATGTCAGCAGTCGAAGCAAGTCTCAAACGTCTTGATACGGACCACATCGATGTCTATTACTTGCACCGCTGGGATGCCACCACGCGAATTGCGGAATCGTTACGGGCTTTAGACGATTGCGTGAGACAGGGAAAGGTGCGCTATATTGCCTGTTCCAACTTCGAGGCGTGGCGTGTTTGCGAGGCACTCTGGACAAGCGAAAAGCAAGGTCTGGAAGAGTTTGTATGCGTCCAACCCCTCTATAACATCGTTAACCGAGATCCTGAGGTAGAATTGTTGCCGTTTTGTGAGAAGTACGGCGTCGGGGTTGTGCCGTATAGTCCATTGGCACGAGGTGTGTTGTCCGGGAAGTATTTGTCCGGCAAAAAACCTCCCGCGGGTTCAAGGGCGGCACGTCAGGATAGCCGAATTTTGCAGACGGAACTCCGCGAGGAAAGCTACGAAGTCGCGCAAAACCTCAAACCCCTCGCAGATGCGCACGGTAAAACGCTGACGCAATTTTCATTGGCGTGGGTGCTGGCAAATCCGACAATTACCTCTGTTATCATCGGACCGCGCACAATGAAACAATTAGAGGATAACTTGGGGTGTTTAGATTGCACGCTAACGGAAGCCGATGAGGCAACTATTAACGAATTGGTCCCTCTCGGAGAACACACCGGTAAAGGGTATAACGATCCGGCGTATCCGGTGCTGGGACGGTTAACACAGGGTTAAAACGTGTAGGTGTGTAACTGTTAGCAGGACTTACGCAATTTTGGCGGACGGCGTGACTATTTTATTTTTAACCCCTAAATCCCCCTTATCAGGGGGACTTACGGAACTGACTGCGTAAGTCCTAACGTGAGTTCGATATAAGACAGGCAAAAATTCGGAGCATCTTGGCAATTCCAATATGTCCACCGGACACTGAGTTGAACGCATGTCATTCAACACAACAACCAAAACTCGAACTTTGCTCCAGAGGAGCAACATGTCTATAGCAACCATCCGACGCAACGTTCCCGCTCCGTAGGTGCGGTATTCGGTTAATTTTTACCGATGCCCGGTGCGGTTACAAACCGCACCTACCGGGCCTGGGGAAATATAGAATTACCCAAATATTTTATCAAACTTCATCTGGAGTGCGGAGACTCCGATTATCAAATCTTTGGTAGGTGTAATGCCCTGTGTCAGTTTCCCTGAGTCCTTAAATCGAGTTCACGTTAAATCCTATGTTAATTTTAACGTACGGATCCGTAGTCCTTAGCATAGACAAGGCGGATCCGTGACGTAGTATAACGTGATAAGAGACTCAAGGCTCACTTCACTTGAGAGACCTGAGTTTCCCCCATGTGGTTGTTAACTTGCCTTGGGGTTCAACTGCCAACAATTCACTGAACCGATTGGTAATGAGTTCGCTAATTTCCAACCCAACGTTGCCACGGTTCACACAAAAGAGGCTTTGGCTTACTTTAACCACGGTAAAATTCTGGAAAAGGCACGGGAACCCTCTTTGATTAAGAAGAAATTTCTTTTCGTCGTGTCAGAAAGCTTCTCACATCGTCGGAGAGAATATTTCTTGATTTCATAAAGCTGATACCCTAAATCTGCAACGTAATTTTCTATCTCTTCGAACATGGCACGATTTGTTTCACCAACATCTTTCAGTTCCGCCATTAAGAGAGGTGCGTGCGTTTTTAAGCAGTGCTCCCCGCCGCGTAACACTTCTAACTGATACCCCTCCACATCAATCTTGATGAAATCCGGAACCGGTAGTTCTCGGATGAGATTGTCAATCGTGTCAAGCGTCACGCGTTCCGATGCCGCCCGTCCGTTGACATACTTTAAGGAAGCAGTGCCTTCGGCAAGTCCTGCCTCGGAGTAGTAGAGATGCCGTTGTTCTACGCTGTCGCCGATCCCCTTATTAACAACAGTAATATTTGCGAACTGATTCAGAGAGACATTCTCATGGAGATAGTCACAGGTGCGTAGGGCAGGTTCAAATGCAACGACTGCGCCAGCATCTTTAACCCGTGAGGCGAGGAAGCACGTATAAAATCCGATGTTCGCCCCGATGTCCCAACAGATGTCTCCCGGCTGAATAATCTTCAGGAGTTTGGTAACGACATGCCTCTCATCATGAGTGCCGTAAAAATAGAGATATTGGTGCTCAGGGTTCGCTAAGTTGACTTTCAATCGGAATTGGTACTTGCTATCAAAAATAGCAACTGGGTCCTCAGGTGTAATCAAATCCCTCGTTAGGTTCAAGAGCAAACGCTTCCCGTCAGTGATTGGACACCATCGGAGGTAACTGCGGACAAGCCAGTTGAGTTGCGGGTTCATCCCCACGTCTCAAGCCCCAGTAGTTTTTTGCCGAGTTCAGTCAGATATGCGGTTTCGCTTAATTCATGCTCCTTTTCTGCGCGTTCGCCACTAAAACCCGCCATACGCTCTTTCCATGCGTTGATACGGCCTTCGCGTGCTTCCGGATTCGCTTCCCCTGTAGGAGACATAGTAATGTATTGCGCGACACGTGGTGCATCGGCAGTGTTGATACCCGCACTATGAGGCAACGCGCTATGCCAAATAACGAGATCTCCCGCCTTACCGGGGACTGGAACTGCACCGAGTGCCACTAAATCTTGCTGCTTCGGGTCGGCATCCGATGGCAGACTCTTTATCCACTCCTCAATCTTATTGTGGAACCCAGGAACACACGTAAATGCCCCTTGATTAGCGGCAGTATCGGTAAGATAAAGCACACCCTGGACGTGGAACCGGAAAGGGATTTCTACAGACGCATCCCAATGGAGTCCTAAGTTTGTCCGTTCAAATTTTTCGGGAAGATTGGGCGGACTCATGCTGGCACGGTCGAAACTCACCCAAAGTTTCTCATTATCCCAAATCTCGGTGAAAGCTTGATGCACACGCGGATATTGACGCGTTGCCCATAAGGTCGGGTGCTGATAGATTTCTACCATGATGCCTTTACGAGGCGGATCGGGATACCAGGTGTCTGGATCATCGGCATCCATACCAAGGAAATCCCAGACAGCTTGCGCCGTATTCTGTATTAACTCTGGGGGTGCCGCATCGTGGATAACGACATAACCGTTTTCCTCCCAGAAAGCGCGATCTTCAGAACTCAAAACAACCATTTTTAATTTTCCTTGCGGGTAAATGACAGGCGTTGGAACTATCAGATGCGTTCCTTAAATCCGCCCTCCATTACATTACGGGCTACGGGTTTTGATGCTATCTTAACCCAAGTTGCCACTTATTTATACACATAGCACTCCGGAATCAACGGTATGAATGCCTTATCAAACCTTCCGAGACTAAAACCCCGTGCTTTAGTGCGGGGATACAGTCTCGTTTTCGTGAATTAGACAAGGTTTTTCCTTGACAAATCCTGTCAAAAATGCTACAATACTCTTAGAGTGTAAGGTTGCTATAGAGGGTTGTTACGCACCTCTAAGGTTAGATTCCTATAGTGTAAAGCTCTAATATCTAAAATCCTGAAAGTCGTAGCTTACAGTCGTTAGTAGGGAAAGACAGGTCATGCTGAATCCCGTTTGAAACGGACGACTCAAAACTTTTCGTAAGGTGCTTTTTAGCACGCAGTCAGGATAGTGTCTGTTGCAGGAGGCTATAGAAGCCTTGCATATCGCAAGCAGTGGTCGTTGATCGCACGAAACTTCTGATGACTTTCTTCAGAAGCACCCATGCTTTAGCAGGGCGTTCTATCACGATTAGCATTTTACCCCAACCGGCGCAAAAAAGCAGAGAGAAAAATAACTATCAATCCGAAAATTACAGTAAGGTTGAGCCACGGTGCTGGTCTTTTCTGAAATACATCAAAGACAGGATAGGGGAACGTCAGAATAATTGCTAATGTAAATATTAAAAAGACGATAAAAAGTTTCGCACCCAAGACGAGGATGTAGAGCGAGTAATCTGATATAAACGTTCCAGTAGCGGCAACGGAACGTGCAGTGCGAAAGAAGGTGATGAAATTATACAATCCCGATATGAGAACGGTTAACAATGCTGTCCAGACAACACCACTAAAACGTCGCAATGCGGATGAGATTAATACCTCCGGTTTAGAAAGCCGTCCGACAATCGGGAGAAAAACAACGCGAAAGAAAAAGAATCCTCCTATCATCAGAACGACGGATCCAACATGTATCCACTGCATTAACGACTTCAACAACATCTTTTTAATTATTGGGTTTTCGTGCCGATTTTTCCGATTTGATCATCAACTCGCCTCCGTTATAAATGCTAAAGCACGAGTTGATGGTCAAAAAATCGGGTTTTCGATGCGTGCCAACAACACAGGTACTAAAAAACGTGAGTTCGACTTAAGGATTTAGAGAAACCTGACACGATATATCACGTCTATCGTAGGTTTGCTTACAGTTGCGTTTCGGCACTCCAGAGGCGTGCTATGTAAGATAATATACCGCTCCTCTGGAGCGGAAGCTACTATAGACATACTGCTCCTAATGAAGATTAAGAATTTAATCGGGTAATTTTCACTGATGCCCGGTGCGGTTACAAACCGCACCTACCGGGCCTGGGGGAACACAGAATCACCCAAATATTTTATTTATAGTAAAGCCTCTAATTAATTGGACATCACGAATGGGCGAGGTTACAAACCTCGCCAGCGAGGTGGGAAGGCCCAAATCCTCGGTGTTCACATATTTTCGGGCTTTACTATAACTTCATACGGAGCAGAAGATCAAACTCACGCTAAAAAACATACAGATACTATGGCAGAAGGGCAATCGGTTAAGCACGCCGACTGCCCTTCTCCATTCTCTGTATTCCTGTGTTCCAGTCGCTGCGATGTTACACCACCGGCTTACCACCAATGGGGTTAAAACAGTTGCGCGACTGCTTACAAGCGTCTGGCGACACAAATTGGTCATCGGGTCCTACGACTTGCATGGTGCAATTGCACCAATAGTGCGAACCGGGATTGTTTTCAACGAGGTTCTGCAAGTTGCCACCCGGAATGTAAATCGCCTTCGTCCGAAGATACTGGCATATCGGGCGATTAAAGATTGGAAGTGCTTTTCCTTGTAACATAAGCAATGCTCCTTTAGCTTGCAGCCATCATCGCGGCGCGACTGACGAGATTCCGTGTTAAAGTTACCTTGTACGCGTTGTCGTTCAAGGGTTGTGCATCCTTGACTGCATCCGCTCCGGCTTGCTGACTCACCGATTCGTCGATCATCTTGCCGGTGACTGCAGCTTCTGCCTCTTTAGAACGCCAAGGCGCAGGCGCGACACCACCGAGAACGATACTGGCGGTTTTACAGGTCTTCCCGTCCATCTCAAAAACACCAGCAACGCTTGATAACGCGAAGTCAGGGGCACCTTTCTCACGCGCCTTTAAATAGAAACTCTTTGTATTCGGCTTCGCTGCCGGGACGCTGACCTCAACGACAATTTCATTGGGTTCCAGCACATTTTCCCGGAACGGATTTGCAGCCGGTAATGTAAAGAATTCCTCAAGCGACATGTTTTTCTCGCCATTGGGTCCGACGATTTTGACCGAGGCACCCAAGGCAATCAATGCTGGCGCGAGGTCCGAAGGATGCACAATGTAGACCGGATCGCCACCAAGGATCGCATGATATTTGCTCAAACCATCAACTGCATAACAGATGTCTCCACCCTTTTTGAGGCAATCGGTGGTTTCATCTCGGTAGTACCAACACCGCGGACGTTGGCAAAGATTCCCGCCGAGTGTCCCGACGTTCCGAATCTGTGGCGTCGCAACAGAACCAGCAGCTTGCGCCAGAACGGTATAGTGATGCCGGATAGTCGGATGCATAGCGATGTCAGCGACAGTGGCTAATGCCCCGATCTTTAAGCCTGAAGCATCAGCCTCAATGCTATCCATTCCGGGTAACGTCTTGAGATTAATGAGCGTCTTCGGGGTTTCAATGTACTCTTTGAGTTCTGCAAGCAGATCCGTGCCGCCGGCGATAAGCATGACTTCGCCCCAACCACTTTCACTCAGGAGTGACGTGACCTGCTCCAGACTGGTAGCGTTAACGTAACTGAATTTTTCCATTGCTTACCTCCTTATGCCTTGTCGGCGAGTGCGTCAAGGACCTTATCGGGTGTTATCGGTAACGACCGAATCCGAACGCCAATCGCATTGTAAACGGCATTCGCAATAGCACCAGGTGTCGGAATACATGGTGGTTCACCGATCCCTGTAACCTTGCGGTGCGTATCGAAAACAATGGATTTAATTTCAGGGATCTCGAAAGTCCCAGGAACCTTGTAGTCCTCAAGATTGGCGTTGAGCATTCGACCCGTCTGTGCGTCCATGAAACGCTCTTCAAGCAGTGCCTGACCCAATCCCATGATAACACCACCATTAATCTGACTTTCTGTCGTCAACCTGTTAATCGCCAATCCGCAATCCTGAACGGCAACAATTTTGATAACCTTGACAGCCCCGGTCTGCGTATCAATTTCAACTTCAGCGAACTGGGTACCTGCGGCACCACCTTGACGGAGGTCCTCATCCCAAGTTCCACCTTCGTTAATACTCTCCATGCCGAGTTGTCCGGTTGCCTGTTTCCACGTAATTGTCTTTGTCCTATCAGAGACGGCATAGATAGTGCCGGTGCCGACACGGAGATCACCAATCGGTGCATCAAGCAGTGGTGCGATGCGTTCAAATAATTTCTGTTTCGCCGCCGCTGCTGCCGTTTTGATGACAGGCGCCACTGACGGAGTTGTTTGACTGCCACCACTGCCGCCAGAAGGCAATCCGGGCCCGCTATCGCCAACCTTCACACGGATATCGGTAGGCTCAAGACCGAATTCTTCGGCAACAATAATCGCAATAACTGTGCGGACACCAGTTCCAATGTCCTGTGTGCCTGTGACGGCTTCAACAGTGCCGTCTGCGTTGATAGTGATCCGCGCTTCAGTGCCGCGTCCGCCACCGCCACCCCATTGTCCACTGCCAAGTCCCATGCCGCGCTTTTCCACGCCTGTGCCGGAACCCGGTACGCTGTTACGACGATACCAGCCTATCTCTTGTGCACCGAGGGTGTATTGTGCCTGACGTACTTCATTCGGATCATTGATACGACGAAACTCCAACGGGTTCATACCGAGTTTTTCGGCAAGCTCATCCATCAGAGAATCCATCGCGAATGCACCTTGCGGGTGCCCAGGGGCGCGCATCGCGCGTTGATTGCCGGCGTTGACAGTCACGTTAACCCGTTCCGATCGACTGTTTGGCACGTGGTAGACGTAAGGTGCCGGGAAACCCGCGCCACTGGAGATGCCCCCTGTGCCGTGGCCCTTCATATCGTAAGCGATAAGTCGCCCGTCGCGTGTTGCGCCGGCGCGAACGTGCTGTGTCATTGAAGGCCTATTGCCAGCAACAAGATGCTCTGCTTTCCGGGTCAGCATTAGTTTCACTGCTTTGCCAGTGATACGAGACAATTCAGCAGCCGTGCGACCTTCCACGCCGGGTCCGAATTTGCTTCCAAATCCGCCCCCCATGTGCTCCGTAATGACCCTGACCTGGTTTGCGGGCAATTCAAAGCGCTGCGCCAAATCGTTGCGAACCCCAAAAACACCTTGTGTAGATGCCCAAACGGTAAGATTTTGTTCATCCTCCCATTTTGCGACATGCCCGTGTGTTTCCAAGCAAACGTGCGTCTGAACAGGCGTATGATAGGTAGCCTCGACCTCAACAGCGGCTTCAGCAAACCCTGCATTGATGTCGCCGTCTTCTCTGACATTCGGTTCGCTCTGATTGCCCGCCCAATCCTCTCGGATTTGCGGTGCCCCTTCTGCCATCGCGTCCGCTTCTGTGACGACGTGCGGTAATTCCTCTAAGTCGACACGAATGAGCCGGAGTGCGTCCTTAGCGATGTCATCCGTTTCAGCGGCAACAGCGGCAATTTCTTGCCCTTGGTACCGGAGTTTATTGCCAACCTCAATGAGCGGAATAACTGCCTTAACCCCGGGTAATGCTTCTGCTTCGCTCAGGTCAATGCCCATCACGGTTGCGTGTGCGATTTCAGAACGCAAAATGCGTCCGTAAAGCAGCCCCGGTTCATTAATATCAAAAGTATACTTCGCTTTTCCAGTGACTTTATCCTTACCGGACAAACGGGTTATCCGTTTCCCGATGAGACGTGATTCACTTGCTTCTCCCCATGATGCCATGCGTTTTCCTCCTATAGCCAACTGCCCCATTGGAGCGGCAGACTCTTGCGTCTCGCAAGTCAAGCCTTGCTTTCAAATCACATCTTCCGTGATGCGGTTTCGATAGCATCAAAGATGAATGGATAGGTTCCGCAGCGACACGTGTTGCCAGACAGCCCGCCTTTAATTTCTTCGAGCGTCGGTTTCGAGTTTTCGTTCAACAGAGCTGCGGATGAGACGATGAAACCGGGTGTGCAGAATCCGCACATCATCGCGTCGTGTTGGATGAATGCTTCCTGAACAGGGTGCAAATCGTCGCCGTCTGCTAATCCCTCAACGGTTGTTATCTGCTTGTCCTGTGCATCAATTGCGAGCATCATGCAAGCGTAGATCGTCTTTCCGTCTACCATGACGGTACAGCCACCACATTCACCACGATCGCAAATTAGTTTGGCACCGGTTAAGTCGATGTTGCTTCCCGCTTGTATCAATTCCATCACGCAAAACGGTTAAAAGCGTTGTTCGCGCTTCAACCTCGACCTGATACGATTTACCGTTGATATTGAGTTGGATTGTCGCATTAGCGATAGCGTCGCCCATTTGGGCATCGGCGGCTTTCTCACTGCCGATCAAGACGCTCGGCGCGACAGTTGCAGCAACGGTACCTGTACCTACGCCTTTCAAAAAGTTCCGGCGCGAGATGTTCGTCCCTGTTTTTTATCCTTATCAGGCATGCGGGACCTCCTTCAATTGTGAGTTCGGATTAACGTTATGTTCATCGCGTTGGTTGAAAAATTCATTATCTCTCAATTTTTTCAGTATACTATATCTCACATTTTTTATCAAGAAAAAAAACGAGCGAATGATAATTAGGTTTCGGTCTTTAATTATCGGTTGTTGGAAATCCGATAAAACTATATTTTTGATTTTGCCACCGGTAGCCCATCATGTCAGAACTGATGTGGTTGCAAACCGCATTTGATACTTTTTTATGAAAATTGATTTATGGTTAACACGAAGAAAAAATTGATTGGCAATTTTTCTCAGAATGGGGTATCATATTAATGCCCTAATGCACTTATAAGAGTAATTACGTAAGCACAATATTACACGGTGGCATTTCGCCTACCAGACGCAAAAAAAGGAGCTATCATGGCTGGAAACACGTTTGAAATTAGTGACGACACATTTGAAGGAATGGTAATTACATCAGACACACCCGTTGTTGTCGACTTTTGGGCAGAGTGGTGTGGTCCTTGCAAAATGATTGCGCCGATCTTGGAGGAGCTCGCCGGTGAGAACTCTGAGGCATTTAAAGTTGGAAAAGTAAACGTTGATGCCAACCGTCAGACCGCGATGCAGTACGGCGTTCGGAGCATCCCAACGCTGCTCGTGTTCAAAGACGGCAAAGTTGCGGGGCAGATTGTCGGCGCGATGCCCAAAGAAGCACTCAAGAAGAAAATCTTAGACGTCCCTATAAGCCGTTCCATTCGTAATCACACCTCTGGAGAATGGAAGATTGTATAAATCAGATTCGCCCTTCCATTCTCCCACCGTTCCTACCCTTCCACCCTCTAAGGTTCGCTATGTTTTGGCAACTTGTCTACAACCTGTTTGCTGTCCCCATTATGTTTGTCGGTTTTTACGGCGCAGGATGTTGCAATCCAAAGATTATGGAGGGCATCAATGGGCGAAAACGAGTGTTTGCAGAACTGGCAGACCAACTCCAGACCGCTCGACTTCTGGAGAAAACAGTATGGTTTCACTTTACTTCTGTCGGCGAATTTGAACAAGCAAAACCACTCATCGAAGCGATTTATGCAGAGACCCGAATTGTTTTAACCTTCTTTTCACCCTCCGTTGCACCAAATGCCCGATCTTATCCGTACGCTGATGCTGCTGTTTACCTTCCGTTGGATACTCGGCGCAACGCGGAACGCTTGATACGTCTCATCGAGCCTACTTTGATAATCTTTTCCAAATTCGACATTTGGCCCAACCTCGTCTGGAAAGCCTCTAAAAACGGTATTCCCATTATTGTGATTGCCGGTACGTTGCACGCTGAATCGAAACGATTGTCGCGTTTCGCGAAACCCTTTTTTCGGAGTGTGCATCGGCACATCCAAGTGCATTGTGCGATCTCGGAAGGGGATGCGGCACGCTTTCAAGAACTCTGCTCGCCAACACATGAAATCGTTGTTACCGGCGATACCCGCTATGAGCAGGTTTACAGACGCGCAGTAGCCGTTGAATCTGACACCGAATTTTTTCCCGGTCAAGCGACTTTAGGGCGCGGCTTGCAAGCCCATATTGCAACGAAACGTCCCATCCTCATCGCTGGCAGTACCTATACAGAAGACGAGAAAGTACTGTTGCCGGCATATCAACGACTGCGTGAGAATACACGCGACAACTTTCCTCATTTGATTCTGGTCCCACACGAACCTACCTCTGAACGAATCAGTGAGATCCGCGCCGCTCTGAACCGCCAGCAATTCCCACACCTCTGCTTCTCTGAACTCACATCGGGGGTAGATTTAGCGGCAGTGGATATCCTCATCATTGATAGGATGGGGCTTCTTGCAAAGTTATATGGACTGGCAGATATTGCGTTTATTGGGGGAAGTTTTCGTGGGAGCGTTCACAATGTGATGGAGCCTGCTGCGATGGCGAAGCCTGTCCTGTTCGGTCCGACCATCCAGAACGCCTATGAAGCGTCTCTCCTCGTAGATCGGGGTGGGGCAAAACTGGTTCACACTGCACAACAGTTGGCAGACGCTATTACCGTGTGGTTGAACGATACAGACGCGAGGGAGATAGCAGGCAGCGTTGGGAAACAATTAATTGAGGAAAATCTGGGTGCGGTGGAGCGAACTTTGGTGCATTTGCGGGAGTATGTGTGAAAAAATGGAGAAGGGATGAACTGCTTAGCGCCCCAAGGTAGATTGATCCTCCACCTGAGTCTGGTAGCGGATTTTTAGGATGGGACGTAGGTTTTCATCATCTGACTCTTTTGAAGCGAAAACGATAGGGACACTGCCATCCCGCAAGGCGAAGAGGTACCCGTAGTTGTAATCCGGATTCGCTACCCAAAAGCGGATCGCGTCCGTGAGCAGTTCGTTTTTAAATGTATAACGTTTCCCTGCCCCTTGAATTTCGTATGTACCATCAATCCGATGGGCGACATCCTCAG